AGTTGCCTGAAAATACAACATAAATACATCCATACTCTGGGTCCTTGGTTTCCAAATGAGATGCAAAAGTTGCTCTCATCAGAAAAGAGGACTTTGGACCAATGAGTAACAGACCAGGTCTGTTTTTCTTTAGCCCAGGTAAGATGCTTCTGACGTTTGTTGTTCAGGAGTGGCTTGACAAGAGGAATACAACATTTGAAGCCCATGTCCAGGATCCGTCTGTGTGTGGTGGCTCTTGATGCACTGACTCCAGCCTCAGTCCACTCCTTGTGAAAGTCCCCAACACTTTTGAATGGCCTTTTCCTGACAATCCTCTCCAGGCTGCGGTCATCCCTGCTGCTTGTGCACCTTTTTCTTCCACACTTTTCCCTTCCACATAACTTTCTATTAATGTGCTTTGATACAGCACTTTGGGAACATCCAACTTCTTTTGCAATTACCTTTTGAGGCTTTCCCTCCTTATGGAGGGTGTCAATGATGGTTTTCTGCACAACTGTCAGGTCAGCAGTCTTTCCCATGATTGTGATTCCTACTGAACCATACTGAGAGACCATTTAAAGGCTCAGGAACCCTTTGCAGGTGTTATGGCTTAATTAGTTGATTAGAGTGGGACACTTTGAGCCTAGAATATTGCACCTTTTCACAATATTCTAATTTTCCGAGATTGTGGATTTGGGGTTTTTATGAGCTGTAAGCCACAATCATCACAGTTATGACAAATCACGGCTTGAACTATCTTGCTTTGCATGTAATGAGTCTATCTCATACAGTTGCAAGAAAAAGTATGTGAACCCCTTGGGATTACGTGGAGTTTTGCATGAATTGGGCATAAAATGTGCTCTGAACGTCATCTAAGTCACAACAATGGAAGAAGACAGTCTGCTGAACATAATACTACACAAACATTAGATGTTGCCATGGTTTAATTGCACATAACATGTAAACATTCACAGTGCCGGGAGGAAAAAGTATGTGAACCTTTGGACTTAATAACTGATTGACCCTCCTTTGGCAGCAATAACCTCAACCAAACGTTTCCTGTAGTTGCAGATCAGACCTGCACAACGATCTGGAGTAATTTTGGACCACTCCTCTTCACAAAACTGTTTCAGTGTAGCAATATTCTTGGGATGTCTGGTGTGAATCGCTCTCTTAAGGTCATGCCACAGCATTTCAATCGGGTTGAGGTCAGGACTCTGACTGGGCCACTCCAGAAGGCGTATTCTGTGCTGTTGCAGCCATTGTTTTGTTGAATTACTTGTATGCTTTGGGTCATTGTCCTGTTGCATCACCCATCCTCTGCGGAGCTTCAGTTGGCGGACAGATGGTCGTACGTTTTCCTGCAAAATGTCTTGATAAACTCTGGAATTCATTTTCCCATCAATGACAACAATCCGTCCAGGCCCTGAGGCAGCAAAGCAGCCCCAAACCATGATGCTCCCTCCGCCATGTTTTACAGTGGGGATGAGGTTTTGATGTTGGTGTGTGCTGTGCCTTTTTTTCTCCACACATAGTGTTGTGTGTTCTTCCCAAACAACTCAATCTTGGTTTCATCTGTCCACAGTATATTTTGCCAGTAGTGCTGTGGAACATCCAAGTGCTCTTTTGCAAACTTCAAACGTGCTGCAATATTCTTTTTGGACAGCAATGGCTTCCTCCGTGGTGTCCTCCCATGTACTCCATTCTTGTTTAATGTTTTCCTTATTGTAGATGTGTCAACAAAAATGTTAGCATGTGCCAGAGATTTCTGTAGGTCTTTAGCTGACACTCTGGGATTCTTCTTTACCTCATGCAGCATTCTGCACTGTGCTCTTGCAGTCATTTTTACAGGACGACCACGCCTAGGGAGAGTAGCAACAGTGCTAAACTTTCTCCATTTGTAGACAGTCTGTCTTACCTTGGACACATGAACATCAAGGCTTTTGAAGATACTTTTGTAACCCTTTCCAGCTTCATGCAAGTCAACAATTCTTGATCGTAGGTCTTCTGAGAGCTCTTTTCTGCGAGGCATGGTTCACATCAGACAGTGCTTCTTGAAACCAGTAAACCCAAAACAGGTGTGTATTTTTTAAGGGCAGGACAGCTGTCAGCAACACATTCAATATCATCACACTGATTGGAGTCAAGGTTGGCTCACTCCTGGCTCCAATTAGCTCTGGGAGAAGTCATTAAGCTAGGGCTTCACATACTTTTTCCTCCCTGCACTGTGAATGTTTACATGTTATGTGCAATTAAACCATGGCAACATCTAATGTTTGTGTAGTATTATGTTCAGCAGACTGTTTTCTTCTATTGTTGTGACTTAGATGACGTTCAGAGCACATTTTATGCCCAATTCATGCAAAACTCCACGTAATCCCAAGGGGTTCACATACTTTTTCTTGCAACTGTATATTAGTTTTTCACCTTTTAAGTTGCATTACTGAAATAAATGAACTTTTGCATGATATTCTAATTTTTCGAGTTTCACCTGTACACACGTGGTATCGTTGCAATTATCAGTTGCAGGAGAAATTATTTTGGGTTGTTTGGTGGTAGGTTATGGTAGTAGCAAGAAATATATACTACAGCTACATTTAAAAAAAGTAAACAAAACAAAAAAAAAACCTATTATAGGCCAGTTTTCCTTTTGGTAATAATAAAAAAAAAGAGATATCCATTACCATTTACCACCAAATGAAAGCCCAATTTGTCCTGAAAAAAAACAAGGTATAATCCACTTGGATACACGAAGTAGTTGTGATGATATGTACAGTTTTGCTAACACATGTCAAAGTTGCAAAATTGTGCTTAGGTGTTAAGATTTGTTTTACCCTTAGGCGTGAAGGGGTTAAGCATCCTTGTAACTGCATTCACTTTACAGATATCAGAGTGCTCTGTGTTTATGTACAAGGCTATGTTATACATGGGCCACTTTTTTTTTTTTTCAAGGAGTATCTTGCGGACAGCGAGATCCTGTGTACATTTTATACGGCCTGATTAGGCCTAATACGGTGTATTGTATCGAATTAGGGTCATGTACCCTGTGATGATATTTTATAATATATGATGATAATGTATTCTAAATACAGCTTCCTCTGATACTGGGCATTCCTTTAGGACCAGTTCACATCAAAGCGCAGTGCAGGAAACCCACATTCCATACGCGTTTCCTGCGCTGTGTTCAGAAAGCACTGCACTTACGATCTGCAGCAGTTGTTAGGGTTAACTTAGTGATGCCCAAAACGCAGGTCGCAAATGCAGTGCAATAGCCTGCACTGGATTGCATGGTACAGTAATGCACTGCTTTTGGTGCACAATTTCAGCCCGTTTAGATGAATAGGCTGAAATCGCACTGCACCTGGATCGCATGTAAGTTGCACAGTGAGTTCCTGTGGTGTGAACCAACCCTCAAAGTGTATGTCCAGCCAAAAAGGTTTTTTTTTTTTTTTTTTTTTTTTTTTTTTTTCAGTTTTGGATAGAACAGACAATAGGTAGAACCTCCGTCTAGTTTTTGCAGCTCTCTGGAAGTTCTTTTATACAGATTTCCACTTCTCTGTCCGCTGATGATAATTTCATTAGACAGGAAGCATGGATGTGCAATTCCTATAGCCCAATGCCTTGGACATGCAGTTCGGGGTGCTGGGCAAGAGGTTCTCCTTTATATTTAGCCCTGCTGTGGGCAAGCAGCAAGAATTAGAGCCGACAGTCTGCTCTCTTGTAAAAGAGATCCGAGCATCAAACTAGCCACTGGATCGCTTTTACAAGCAGCGAAGGGTACAACCCCCCCCCCCTTCCGTGGGCTGTCACGTTGCACCAGGACACCCAATCGACCATCTGGTGCTACCGCCGACTGATCATAAAAGTGTACAAAGTTGGGAACCACTCTGTCCGCCTCTATGATATTGGAAGCGATAAGCATACATCACTTACAGTTTCTCCGGATGTAAATGGTGATATTTTTAAAAATGGAAAGCATTTGATCACACAGATCTTTTTAGATCTCATTGACCCCAGATCTCTCGATAAAGCACACCTGTCACTGCCTATTGGGGATGTTTTCATGCAAAAATTAAAGCGACAGTGTTTAAATAATAAATAATTAAAAAAATGTTTTTTAAAGCATCCCAGTCCCCGCACACAAAGGCAAATGCATGTGTCGGTCCTGCACGCATGCAAACAGCAATAGGCCTACACATGTGATGCATCTCTGAGAATGTCAGATCATGGGCACCAGACCTCTTCTGTAAATCTAAAGTGGTAACATGTAAAGGCTTTTAAAGTGTTACCTATGAATAGTAAAGTGTGACAAGTTTGTTACCTATTTATTCAGTGTAACACCATCTTTTATATTTTACTAAAAAATTGGTTTTAGTATTGTGTTTTTTGCATTCAAATTAAAAGTGTATTTTCCCCCCCAAAAAAATTTGCATTTTGAAAAACTGTTGCCCAAATACCGTGTTGCATAAAAAATTGCAAACGCCACCAATTTATTCTCAAGACTCTCTGCTTTAAAGAAAAAAAAACAACAATATGTATATATAATTTTTGGGGGGTTCTAAGACAATGTAGATTGTCATGAGGGACAAGTAGATTGGAACCCCGATTTAGTCCTTGGACAAGTAGTTTTTTAAAAAAATTTCCACAGTGAGGGAAAATCTGCAAAAGGGACACAGAGAGCACTAAAACCGGACTTAGACACAGTTAACATTTTGTAGATGTTCTTCATAACATAGAAAGCTTGCAGGTTCCTGAGTTGCCATCCTCCTCTTGACTCCTGTGTCAAGCAAGTCAAGAGGTCCCTATGGCACTTGTTCAGGGTCATTGACATATTCAGTGGTACAGGAAAGATGAGGATGACCCACAGCTTTTATCTTTGAAAACCGATAACAGAAACAGTGGTCACTTCCCCTATGTTTGTTATGATGGGTCCTTTAAAAAAAGAAAAGTTCCCCTGTGATGTGTTTTAATATATAAATTTGTGTGTATATGTGACGGGCTGTTGTTTTCTTCCATTTTAGAATGCTAAGTGTGAAGGCCATAACCAATCCACAATACATGGACAGTATGGGCAACCCCATGGTGAACGGCCTGTACGATCTCGCTCTGGGCCCTTCAGACAACAAGGAAGCATGCGCTACATGTGCACAGGATTTACGGAAATGCCCCGGACACCTTGGCCACATCGAGCTGCCATTAACAGTGTATAATCCGCTGCTGTTTGATGTAGGTGGTTTTGTGTCAGTGCTGATCATTTTCATTTGATGTCTGTCCACAGATGTAACACCATTCTGGATCTGATGTATTACAGCAGTGTTGATTTTAAAGCTGGACTCTTTAGTGCTGGTTTACCATTTCCTGCTGGTGGTGGTTGGGTGTGAATTAATGCCCAGCTGCCGCACATTTGCCTCTATGGGGCCCCAAGGTCCTGTGCTAAGAGCACATTCACTGTGCACTCCCAGCACACCGACTAAACTGTCACTGACAGCTCCCAGACACTGTTTGTGATTGGGAACCAGCAGGAGCTGCTCACGATTATGTGACCACTGTAACAGCCAATCCCAAGGATAACACGATCAGGAAACTGCCTCAGCCTTCTGGCATTCAGACCCACCTGGAGGCAGTGGCAAGGGGTTACATACACAGCTGAAATACATATTTACTGTTCAATCTGTAAAAGGGTTTTAACTGCTTCCTGACCGCCCTATAACAGAACTACTGCTGCAGGGCTGCGCAAAATCATGTGTGTGTATATATATATATATATATATATATATATATATATATATATATATATATATATATATATATATATGTGATTTTTCTATTTTCGGGTAGGGGGTGCATGCGCCTCCCTACCCGCACCACTATTGGCTGCTACAGCTGTTGATCAAAGGGTCCTCGCTGGAGATTCCCCGCTGGCACCTGGCGATCACCGAGGAACACTGACAGGAGAGAGGTCTGTATGTAAACAATACAGATCTCTCAAAAAAGAAAAGATGATGCCATCCAGATTTGATACGGTAACCGTATCTAAATAGTATCTCCGACTCAATTAAAGTAAAAGTGTGGATTATAAACCTGAAATACTGTAACACAGAAAAAGTGGCAATTGACTAGTGCAAGACCGCCTGGAAAGTGGTTAATTGAAATCCTAAGTATGATCGCAACATATTCACCTTGTCAATGTCAACCTTTTTCATGATCTAAGCGATCGAATAAATACAATATCGTATCCACTTTTGTATTGATATATTACTCCGCATAGGATTTCAATTAACCACTTTCCAGGCGGTTTTGCACTAGTCAACTGCCTCTTTTTCTGTAATACAGATCTCTCCCCTGTCAGCACCAGCATGCTGCTTTTGTATGGCTCCTTTTGTGTGGCTCCAGCATGCTTACACCGTAAAACACACACAGCACAGTTTGTAAAACAGCACACAGTTAACACTTTGATTGCCCCAAATGTTAACCCCTTCCTGCCCAGTGCCATTAGTACAGTGTTAGTGCTTTTTATTAGCACTGATCACTGTATTAGTGTCACTGGAGATGTCAGTGGCAGTTAGTCAGTTCCCCCAGTGTCAGAATGCCCGCCGCAGTCCTGCTGTAAGTCGCTGATCGCTGCCATTACCAGTGTGTGTGTGTGTGTGTGTGTGTGTGTGTGTGTGTATGTATATATATATATATATATATATAAAATTCCAGTATATATACCGCCATTTGGGTGCAGCGTTGCATGACCGCGCAATTGTTAAAGTTACGCAGTGCCATATCGCAAAACATGGCCTGGTCAGGAAGGGGGGTAAATCCTCTGGAGGGCAAGTGGTTTAAGAGTCAGTCAGTCAAGTGATTGGCATATTCCTGCCACATTGCCTAGCCAGGAAGCCCACTGTGCTAGCTCACTTTGATTTTCTGTTTCCTGTTTCTTAAAGGCTAAGTTCACTTTTCACTTTTTTTTTTTTTTTTTTTGTGTCTTTTTGTTTTAAGTTAAACATTTTGTAAGGAGTCCAGAACCGGTCTTTTCCACTGCTATTCTCTCGATGGCATTGATGCAGTAAAGAACCACTATGATCAATAGGTCCCAGTTGTATATATGTAAAGAGAAAAAAAAATTCAAAATGTAATAATATTTCACTTACAAACGTTAAATGAATTCCGCATGTAAATTCAAGGATGTTTCCAACCGACAAGATGGCCACGATGCGCGGTGTGATGACATCATAAGCCGTAGCTCCACTCTTACTTGTTTCGTCATAAGAAGACATCATTAGGGGCGTGGCCAGCGACGTCCATCGTGTTTTAAATATCCGCTAAGCGGAAGTGCGTCTCAATCGCCAGCGCTCCAATGACCGGAAAACAAACACTGAGCGGTATAACGGATGTCATGACGAAACAAAGCGGAAATGTTACATATCGAGACCCAGAACAAAGATATACTGGAGTGACAACCGGGGAGCAAAGTTGTTCAATAAACTAACATCGGCCATTAATAATATAAATAAAAATGTGGTTGAATTACATCCTTACAATAGAAAGAAATAATGATAATATTTAAAAAAATATGTATAGGCTAGTCACATGCCATCTTGCGGTTGAAAAACATATAGCCGCCACCCCCCTCTGCCAATCCCTCCACTGGCTTCCGATTGCGCAACGGATCAAATTCAAAATCCTAACACTGACGTAGAAAGCTGTCCACCATACTGCCCCGTACTACATCACTGACCTCATATCCAAGTACCGCCCAGCACGCACACTCCGCTCCTCACAAGACCTCCTTCTCTCTAGTTCCCTGGTCTCCTCCTCCCATGCCCGCCTCCAGGACTTCTCCAGGGTGTCACCCATCCTCTGGAACTCCCTGCCCCAACCCATCAGATTATCACCTACTCTCCTCTCCTTTAGGCGCACCCTGAAAACCCATCTCTTCAGGGAAGCCTACCCCACCCCCTGCTAACCTGCCGACCTCCTCCACTCTTCCTACCACTCCATCCCCCACAGCTGTCTCCTCCTGTACCACTATCCCCTCCCTCCTAGATTGTAAGCTCGAAAGAGCAGGGCCCTCGATCCCCTCATGTTTTGCATTGTATTGGTATTGTTCTGTCGCATGTTCTGTCCCCCTTTGTAATGTACAGTGCTGAGCGAACCATTGGCGCTTTATAAATACTGTATTATTATAATAATAATAATAATATAGCGGCTAAAATATTAAAAAAATATGTTAACAATTCATATATATACGAATAACATCTATTATCCCTCCATACATCAATAAAATTCAATACATCTTAATCTGATAACAGTATAATTCAATACATCTTGTTCCCACTAGAAAAATCTCGCTAGAAATCCATATTCAGACAATATGCTCCACTATTATTGATAAAAGCATTAACATCCCATTCATTATTTAAGCCAAAAGGGGCATAGTTTTCAACTTGTAAATCCATCGAGTCTCTAATTTGGAGATCTCCCTTCTGCCATGACTACAACGCCAGTTAGGAGTAAACCTATCAATAGCTAAAATACGTGTGCCATTAGGATTTTTCCCTTGGCACAAAGCATAGTGTTTGGACACACTGTGATTTGGAAAACCTTTCCGTATGTTGGCAAGATGTTCTTTAATCCTAGTTTGCATTCTACGAACCATGCAGCCTACATATTGTAGACCACATGGACACCGAATTAGATATACTACATTCTTAGAAGTTCAAGAGATGAAGAAATTAATATCATATGTGATGGAAGTGTGATTAGATGTAAAAGAGACTGCCTTTCTCCCCCTCAGACTATTAATCCTACAGACAGCACACTTCCTGCATGGTTAATATCCCTTCATTTGGCCAAAAAAATAATTTTCTTAGGGGGTTCAACAACATTAGGGGCAATATGTAATCTTAATGGGGGAACGCCTCTATATACAGTTGAAGGACGATACCTCTATCATTGATATTGGGGGTATTGATAAACTTATCCAAAGCGCTAAGGTCATCATTCCATAAGAGGAGAACATCATCTATGTACCTCTTCCAAAGTACCAATTCAGGCCTAATTCCCCATTGATGACGTCCTTGTCCCACCTGGCCATAAAAAGATTGGCCATACTGGTCGCAAGCTTTGCACTCAGCCACTCCACACTTCTCTAAGTAATAAGACCCCTTAAACCGGAAATAATCATGGCTCATGGCAAAATCCAAAAGTTGTAAGATACATTTTTATTGTAATTCAGGTAGGTCGGCATCCCTATGTAAAAAATATTCCACTGCATCCCTTCCATATTGGTGTGATATGATGGTATACAAAGAAGTCACATCAGCTGTAGCCAATATGTAACCATTTTTCCAATCCAAAGTATTTAGAATATGAATCACTTGTGTAGTATCTTTCAAAAAGGAAAGGGGTTTTAGTTACCAACGGCTGTAGAAAAGTATCTATATAACGACCCAGTCTAGCAGTAACAGAATCAATCCCACCTATGGGGCGTCCCGGAGGATTCAATGGATCCTTATGTACTTTAGGCAAATAGTACATAACCGGTACTCGAGGGGCCACAGGTACCCAGAAGGATCTTTGCTTCTTGGTTAATATTTTATTCTGATACCCCTCATTCACAATAGCCTGTTACTCTTGTAATTGGTTGCAACTTCCTCCTTACTGGCCTCCCTCGCCGCTGGCTATCCCTGCTTCAGTCGATCCTGAATACGGCTGCCAGACTCATCCACCTTTCCAACCGCTCCGTTTACACCACCCCCCTCTGCCAATCCCTCCACTGGCTTCCGATTGCGCAACAGATCAAATTCAAAATCCTAACACTGACGTACAAAGCCGTCCACCATACTGCCCCGAACTACATCACCGACCTAATATCCAAGTACCACCCAGCACGCACACTCCGCTCCTCACAAGACCTCCTTCTCTCTAGTTCCCTGGTCTCCTCCTCCCATGCCCGCCTCCAGGACTTCTCCAGGGTGTCACCCATCCTCTGGAACTCCCTGCCCCAACCCATCAGATTATCACCTACTCTCCTCTCCTTTAGGCGCACCCTGAAAACCCACCTCTTCAGGGAAGCCTACCCCACCCCCTGCTAACTTGCCGACCTCCTCCACTCTTCCTAGCACTCCATCCCCCACAGCTTTCTCCTCCTGTGCCACCATCCCCTCCCTCCTAGATTGTAAGCTCGAAAGAGCAGGGCCCTCGATCCCCTCATGTTTTGCATTGTATTGTATTATTGTTCTGTCCCCCTTTGTAATGTACAGCGCTGAGCGAACTATTGGCGCTTTATAAATACTGTATAATAATAATAATTTATTATCAGCTTCTGTGAACTAAAGTTATTTTATTTTTCAGAAACTGTACCTTCTGGTGCGGGGCTCCTGCTTTCACTGCCACCTTCTGACATGTCCCCGCTCCGTTATTCATCTGTTGCTCAGTCAGTTGAAGGTCCTGGAATGTGGTGCCCTCAGTGAAGTTCATGAGCTGGAGGCAGTTCTTAGTCGGGTGAGTGAACACTGAGGGGCTACAGGTGACAGAGTACTCATTGCCCTTTCTATTTCATAGGGGTTTCTAGTTTTTATATTGTTGAACATTCTATTCCAGCTGAGCACATGACCTAAACACAAGTTTTCGATCTTCTCCTAGTTCTTGGAAGGAAACTCTTCTGCCACTGGCAATGAGATTCATGAAGAGTTGGAAGCTTACACTCGAAAAGTGCTTAAAGCTTTCTCAAAGAAGAAAATTGGGTCATTTGTAAGTGAGACTTTTTTTTTAAATGTTAAAATGCTGATATATTTCTTGCATGGTTTGTTTTTCTGTTTTCACTGAAGCACTTACATTATACCAAGGAGGGTTAAAAAGTTGTGTCTGGTGGGGTCTATGACATCACGAAAGGGGCGCACATAATGTACAATTGAAAATGGTAATACTGGGCTAGAAATACTATGGTAAACAGAGACTGGACTTTCTACATTAGATGGTCAAAGACTGTGGACCTGCTGCAGATGTCATTGGAGACTAGGGATGAGCTGTAAGGGGCTGTTATGCAAGTTGCTTGCAGCTGTTAGTGGTCACTGTTATTAAGGCTTGTTCTCATAGGGTGGTGATTGGAGTTTTTTCCACACTTGATAAAAGCCAGTCACTGCTAGGGCACATAGAAAACAATCAATTTCTATGTGCCCTGTTTGCACTGCAGCACAGCCCAGAGGTGGGGTGGAAGTACGATAAAATGCATACATGTAGCATTTTAATGCATTGACACATGAGACATGAATGCACTGTCACATTGTGCTCCACTGCTCACTGCATCCAAACACTGACTGTCGCCTGCACACTAAAATCGAGCATTTAGTGTATGGGCAGTGTAAATGCACCCTTGTTGTCAGCATTCCTTACAGCCCCCTTAAAAATTTGTGACCTCATATTTATAAAATTTATTATAAAATGTAACAGGAATGGACACCACAGAAAAAGTAAAGAAATCCTGCAGAATTCAGTTTAATACAGGGCTTGAAATTTCCACTCGCCTGCTCGCCAATGGCGATTGGAAATTATGGTGGGGGAGAGTGTGTCCCCCAGGGCCATCTTGCTGAGCAGGCTCGGAGCTCAGGCCGGATCTGTCATTGGCACTGGGAGCCATCAGACTGTTCAATAGCTGAGCGCAGTGAAAGCAAAGCAAGGAGTGTGTGCTGTGCTCTCTGCCTCCCCCTAGAGTGCAGTACCCGGATCTGTGAGTGAACAACGAAGTACTGCAACTTTTTATGGGGGGGGGTGTGGTACATGTGTGTGTGTGTGTGTTTGTACATGTACATTTGTCTCTGTGTGTATGTTTGTTTTTATCTGTACATGTGTTTTTATTGTACTCTGTGTGTACATGTGTCTGTGTATGTACATTTGTCAGCATGTGTATTTCTGTGTATGTACATGTATCTGTATGTATGCGTGTCTGTACGTGCCTGTTTGTGTCTACATGTGTCTCTGTACGTGTGTGTACAAGTTTCTGTGTGTGTGTGTGTGTGTGTACATGTCTGTGTGTATGTACATGTGTCTGTGCATGTGTATTTCTGTGTATGTACATGTATCTGTGTGTAAGCGTGTCTGTACGTGCCTGTGTGTGTGTACATGTGTCTCTGTACAAGTTTCTGTGGGTGTGTGTGTGTGTGTACATGTCTGTGTGTGTGTGTGTGTGTGTGTGTACAGGTGTCTCTGTTTGTGTGCGTTTGTTGGTGGCGAGTAACTCTAAGGCCTGGCTAGTAGCTCAGCACTTGAAATTTTAAGCCCTGGTTTAATAGATGGATTTTTTTTTCGTCCTGTTTCTATACATGGCAGAAATTTCCTTGTACAGTGAGTGCTTATATCCTAATTTTGTTTTCAATCCTAAATTTTTTTTTTTTTTTTTTTTTCTTGCAGGTGAAAAATATCTGTGTGACCAGAAATAAACTGATTTCAGATTTCTGGAAGACCCAAATGGCATCAAAGAAATGCCCTAACTGCAAGTAAGACCTAAGGACATGTCTACGAGTCAACTTTAGCTGCAAAGATGCTAGAACTCCTCTCCAGTATATTTTATAGCTAGAAGTTTTAGGTTTTGATTTCTGACTCTTCCCACGAGGCAGGAAAACATGTTGGGAGGTGATGTCATTACACAGGCATAGTGTTAAACCCTTGATGACTTGGGGTGGGGTTCGATATTCTTTTAGTGCAGCAAAGAAGAATCAGGTCTCCTACTCTACCAGACAGCATGTAGGGTAGTGTAATGTAAATTTAGGACTGGATGGACAGAAATACAAATCTTTTTTGGCATGTATAATACCTGCCTTTTACGTGTGAGTTTGAGTTTTTTGCAGTTTGTCTGCAGTTCAGTATCAATGTTTTTTGATTGTTTGAAACCTTAAGGAAATATAATAAATACAAATGACATAGATGAAAATCATATTTTTTTTTCTCAGCCATTGAGAAGGACATAAAGGGTTGGGTTGTACTGCTGTCCTAGGAGGACTGGGCACTCACAAACACATTTTAGACCAGCCTAGGGTGACCCTTCAGATTGCCTCAGTTTTAGGAGTATGATCTTCTGAACGTCCCTTCTTTTTTTTTTTTTTTTTTTTTCTTCTTAATCAGGATGCCTGCTACCTCGCTGCTTGAGTTGGTGTCTGCTGTGCAGCTATCTGATTTGGCCTTTCCTTAGCTTGTCTTTGCAGTGCTGATTGGGCTGAGTATTGGTAGATACTTCGATATTTGGACCATTGAGTACCCTTGAATTTCCTACTTTTGTCAGTTTACAGTGGAAAAAGTCAATTCTGAGGGACTGATTGATTGCGTAATCTGCTGGGTCGAGTGTCGTGTGATGCACTCTTTCCTGACATTAAAGAGGATGCATCACTCTATTGCTGCTCCTGCTTTGCAGATTCACTTAAAACTCTGATGGATCCATTTCTGCTGCCCACTTACAGTGATTTGGTCACCTCTGGACTTCCAACCCTACACCTGCTACCAATTAGATTTGTGAGTACCTGAGGGCTTGCCTTGTACCCTGAGCTATGTTGCTTTACTGCCATGCTGGTGCAATATTGCTGATCCTAGACAATATAGGGGTTAGTGCGTGCTGTGTTGGGTGGCCCCAGCCCCACTTTTCTTGAACTGTGCTGCTTTTAGTGTGCCTACTGCTGCAGATGACGTCTGCATTCTAGATTTCTCATGGCCCCACTACTAGACTCTATGCTATTCTTAATAGCTCTGTTGGATGTGGCCACCTCCTCTACTGGAGGTTCTTGTACCTCTAGTCAGGCCAAATAGCTCAGATGTTTTGCTGACTCTGGCACGTTACCATGCCCTCTCCTGCCCAGTTCTGTATCCGATGTGCCTGTGGCTTTAGCGGTCTCCAAGCCCCTTAGACTCTGCCCAGTGCTAAGTCTCTCCAGTCCCTACTGAATAAACCTCTTTCAGTCTCTGAGGAGTCAGCCATTTGCCTTCTCTACTGCACCTCAGGTGTTTCCCAAATTGCTGGCCCCAGTACTAGCTTTTCTTTACTCTCAGGGCATTTCCATTTTGGACAACCATTTGCTGTTGGGAACAGTCGGCACAGTGTCCAAAGAACAACGTAGTTCTTACCACTCAGAACTTGTAGAGGTTTGGAGGCATCCTGAATCTGCAGAAATCAGAGCTAGAACTGACTCATTGCTTTGAATATTTGGTTCTAGTCCTAGATGCATCTCGAGCTAGAGTATCTCTCCCCAAGAGAAACTTCAAACTCTCCACTCCCAGACTTGTACACCTCAGTTCAGGAATTGCTGGAGAGTTCTGTGGTTGATGGTTGCCACCTTTTAAGTCTTTCCCCTCCAGACCCCTATATCACCACATTCTACTTCATAGAACAAGCCCGTTATAGTCCTTGGAGAGGCCAATTTCTCTGGCACTGACGACCAGATTGTCCTTGGCTTGATGGCTCTGGAATTGCTTCTAGAGTTGGCAGTCCTTCCTTTTTTTTTATGTCTTTGGAAAGAACTTCATGACTGATGCCAGCCTGTCTTATTGGGGAGAAGTCCTGGGTACCCTGTTGGTACAGGGGACTTAGATGTTGAAGGAATCACATCTCCTATCAACAGTCCTGACTATTCAGGCATTTTTGGTTTTCCCTTCAGCATTAGAGCAAATGGGTCAAATGGTTTGGATTCAGACAGACCGCACCATAGCATTTGCATACATGAGCTGTCAGGGAGGAACCAGAAGTTTCCACATGGCAAAAAAGGTAGAGCTAGTCCTGACCTTTGCACAACTTCATGTTCCAGCCTTTCCTTCTGTCCACATCCCAGGCGTGGACTATTAGCAGGCAGATTTGCTGAAGTTTCTGGACTTGAGTAGTGGCCCTTACACCTGGAGGTATTCCAGGATCTGTGTCACAGGTGGGGTACAGTGGAGGTGGACCTTCTGGCCTCCATTTAAAGTTTTTTGTCTCCAGGTACAGGGATCCCCTAATTCATGGGTATCAAACTGATGGCCCTCCAGCTGTTGAAGAACTACAAGTCCTATCATATCTCTGCCTGTGGGAGTCATGCTTGTAACTGTCAGCCTTGCAATGCCTCATGGGAATTGTAGTTCTGCAACAGCTTGAGGGCTGGCAGTTTGACACCTGTGTTTTAGCAGAAGCAGTGGATGCTCTGGTGCCTCTATGAATTCAGTACACCCTGATCTACACTGTTCCTCCCCTGAAATACCTTCCTTCTCTGTTTGGCAGGATTCATATGGGGGGCATCCTCAATGCTGTAAAATAGCCCCTGGCAGATGTGATACACCTCCTTGATGAAGACTCCTGGTGAGTGCTCCTCTGGATCTTCTATCTCGAGGGCTGATTTACCATCCTGCGTCAGTTGCTGGCTTTTAACGGCATACTGCTACTGGGGCACAGGGCTTATCTTAATATTTTATTCACAGGATGCTAAAAGCTAGAAAATCTTGCTAGAAAAGGTCTAGAATCTGACATTACAGGCATACTTCGCTTGGTGTAAGTCTTTGGGATTCAAGTTGGAGGAGCTATCTTAGGCAGGCGTGCAAATTTTGTTTGCCAATGTCCAGTCCTCCTGTAGGCAGCAGTATGACCTGACAGGTGCTGACTTCTTGTGTCCCTGAATGAACTTCAAGGAAAAGATTTTGCGGTGAATTAAAAAATCCAATTATAGTGCACAAAGTCACTGTTCTGAAACCCAATTTCATTTTTAAGCCTCACTTAACCTTGTCATTTAGGGCACCGAAATCTACAGTACGAAAAGAACACAACAGCAAGCTGACTATAATAATGTCTTCAAAAATGCCGAAGGATGAGAAAGAAATAACCGAAGAATCAGAAGGTAAGTGCACTTGCAGTCTGACTGGCTAAATATCTGTTTATTTTGATTTCACCTAATGCTGAAACCCATTTTAAACTTTTTAAACTGTAACTAAACCCTGGACCCTGTATTCCCTATATCTTGTCTCCCATGGTACATGGAAATGCTATTATTTTAGTAAATATAAACTGCTAAATTCCTTATTCTCAACACCAGTATATGGCACACTTGTGACTTCTCTCAGTGTCCGGCTGAGCACTGGTTAATATTGTAGGAGGAGTTTTCATTCTGCTCTGACTGTATGAGGCTGCATAACCCCTGATCCTCTCTCTGGATAGTGCTGATTAGTCCTGTGCTGGTCACATGCATTCTTCCAAAGAAAATAAACTCTCTAGCCATACACACTAAACTGAGCATGTGCAGAGTTACTACTAGAGCTCTGTACTATCAGCGGATGGATTGGGGACAGTAGAAGAAGGGTAGGATCAGAGAAGACAGGATCAAACAGCCTATTTACACAATGCAGAGGATTAACCCCTTAGGTTTAACAGTGAGTATAGCAAGCATGCTTTACTGCATATACAGACTGATTTTACTGTTGGTTTAGTAACACTAATAAAAGTATTTCAGACACTAAGGCCTCATCCGCACCATATGTGCAGAAAAACTGATGGAGACATCAGTTTTCAAGCGTGCTTCAATGACGTTTATACATGTTGCAGATTCCTGTGCATAAAAATTCTGCACGCGTTACTAGTGTTGTGGTGTGAACAGGGCACATCAAAAACAATTGATTTTGTTGTGCCTTTGCAGAACATGTGCAGAAAAACTTTCTTTTTTTTTTTTTTTTTGCCCAGAATAGTCTTTGTGCCCCTATTATACTTTGGTTTCTATTTGACATTGCAGGATTATTTGCCTTTACTTCATTGCTAAGTTCTGCCACCTGCTATTTAGCTGTCCAAAGAGATGCCTCAGTGGTCAATAAAGCCGAACTCCAGCTTTACCTCCAGCTGTGCAGGAAAAAAAACAGCTTTTTGTAGACAAGCGTTGATATCTTATGTTACCTGCTAATCTGCATAGTAGTTTACCAGTTGCTGAGACAATAAATATTTATCGGCAAAACTTTTTTAAATGGAATCTGTTTCTCTGGGAAACACCCCCTGTTAAGCTATTTGAATATGCAGACCAGCATATAATGAGATAATGTATGTAAACTTTTTTTACTGATTGATTCCATTTGTTGCCAGAAATCCATTTTTGACACGAATAATTTCAGCTGTAACTTTGTCTTCCAGTGTTTGGCGTCTCAGATTTGCCCACACGAGGTTACCTGACTCCCAACACTACGAAGGAACACATTGAGGCCCTTTGGGAAAATGAAGGTATGTAAATGAGTAACATACAGTAGGTTACCCTATGTAAATGGTCCAAAGACAATAAAAAAAATGGTAGTTTACTCCTAGTGTCTCTTAAATGTATTGCTTTGTTTTTGACAGTCTTTTGATTTGTCCTATAGACTCGGTTTATTTTATGTTTAACTTGAAAATCCTGCCTTCCCTAGAACCTTCGCCCCTAGACTGACAAAGCTCAGGGGCTTCTTCTTAGATTGAGCCCCTCCATGAGGTGAAACATGCCATAGGAGGATGAATGTGGCCTGGCAGGAGGTGTCATCCTCGACAAACAATTACGTTTATTGAATGAAATTTAAAAAGCATACAGCAATGCACAGCTATTGTATACTGCTTGGAGGTGACTTTCCTTCTGTCTTTTTTTGGATTGCTTCCTCCCCCAGGGGGTACAGACTCCATACAGACCGCATGTATAAAGCCTTATAAAGTTCAGTTGTCTTTAGCTGTTTATCTTTTTTTCTTTCTTTTTTTTTTTTTTTTTTTCCTGCAGGCTTTTTCTTGAACTGTCTGTTTTCTGGACTGGGGATCGGCCAGGAGTTCTCTCCAGACATCTTTTTTTTGGATCTTGTGGTTGTTCCACCAGCTCGGTAATTTTTATTCCATCTAACCTGTTCTCACATAGGTGTAGGACCCCATGCTAGTAGGCTGCAAAGGACAAATCTTGGTAATTCCAACTAGACTCTCTGTGAGATGTGTGCAGAATATCCACCATACTACCTGCATGTTAACACCCCCTTTCTGTGCAGGCCGTTTTTCAGTGCTGTGATAATTTGACAAATTCTTGATCTATACAATACTACACCCAAATTAATTTTATATCCAGTATACATCCATTATATCCAATAATTATTTCTGTTTTTTATTGTTCTTTTAATAAGCAGTATCCTATAAGAGAAAAAGGCAATACATTTGGGATTGCGCACAATTTACTTCTGTTTTATTTTATTATATTATTTAACCCAGAATATTTTTCATATCCATTAAATCAGGGCTTGAAATTTCCGCTCGCCAATGGCGAGTGGAAGTTATGGTGGGGGTGAGTGTGTCCCCCAGGGCCGTCTTGCTGAGCAGGCTCGGAGCTCAGGCTGGATCTGTCATTGGCACTGGGAGCCGTCAGACTGCTCAATAGCTGAGCGCAGTGAAAGCAAAGGAAGGAGTGTGTGTTGTGCTCTCTGCCTCCCCCTAGAGTGCAGTACCCGGCTCTGTGAGTGAACAACGAAGTACTGCAACTTTTTATTGGGGGGGGTGTGTGTCATGTGGTGGCGAGTAACTCTAAGGCCTGGCTAGAAGCTCAGGACTTGAAATTTTAAGCCCTGCATTAGATAATGATTAGAGTTTCTTCCTAGTAATACATTTTAGGTTGGCATTGTATCAAAACAGAGGTGTTTAGGCAAAAAACGTGCAAGGCTGTATTGTGCTGAACTCCCCCCAAAAGCATTATGATTGATAACAATTCCACTTAATAACATTCAGTTTCCCGTCTCACTGAATTTGTTGGTGGTCGGTGGCATTTAAAACCCCTCACCACCTTTTAAAAATACAATTACTGGTGGTCATAGGCACTTTAAACCCCTGCCCCTCCCAAAAAATAAAAAAAAATCTCCAATCACAAGTCTTGCTCTGCTGCTGCCATTCACTTTCTCTCCCTCCTTCCTCCTTCCCTTCCTTCAATCAGCTGCCATCTTCATTCATCTCCCCCCTCTTTTGTGAGAGTAAGGGGAGGGCTTAAGGTTTACACTTGTGATCGCTGTAATCGAGTCACAGCTACTACTACTACACAGAGTCATTCTGAGTGGCTCTGTGCATTTTTGTGATCGTGTTGACTGACACCACAAACATAAGCTTTGAGAGTGCATATGGCACTCACCACATCCCCTCTATAAACAGGGATGCTTGGAAAAGGTCATTTTTAGTATACAATTACAGTATGACCTTTTGTAGCACTTGTATACAGTATGCTATAAATATTTGTTTGTTGGCTATTTTTTTCCCATAAAAGTGGAATTACCCTTTAAGCCTCCACTCGGAGCACCAGTTATTCTAAAATGACATTCCTTTTCAATCTCCAGCCGCTGTAATTCTTTGCAAAATTCAATGCATTATGGCAACTTGGAGGCGTTATTAACACAGTTGGTGTATGTAACACCAATCAGAAATGTCATTTCCTCCAGTGTAACTCTAAGATACAAGTCAGATTTTAGGCAACCATTTTTGGTGAGATAGGCTGGCCATACACTATATCAATTTCTATCCAATTTCTGCCCAATTTCCTTTAGCTTTACCTTCAACTATGTAGTGTAAGGGCCTGCCTAATTGGATACAATTGAAAGTGTTGTTAGGTTTGACCTCCTATTATTTGGTTTTTGGTAAATCTAAAGCAAAAATCTCAAGAAAATTGTATAATGTATGGCCAGCCTTTTTCCCAAAAGGTTAATCACATCTAAAGGAATTTTAGACTTTCTTAACTTTCTTCATTAGAATCCTGCAAGTGCATCAGCTGATTGATCATGAAAGTCACTCCCATTCAGATTCACTCTGCACATATACATAGACAGACAAACAACTATTTCTTCAGAGTAACAAAAGGTAGGAATCTACAAAGTTGGATAAAAGCCTTGCATGTATATTGTTCACCCAGAGGGGAATGGTGTTTTTTTTTTTTTTTTTTTTTCAACAAAAGTGGAGTTACTCTCTAACTACAATGGCATTTTGGTAGGTGGTTAAACAGCTTCCAGTTTACTAGGCTGCATTTTAGGTCTGTTGCTGCTAATCTTTCCTGTCCTAACTAATATAATGGGCTCCTGTATTTCTTCAGCTATCGTCCAGTAAATCGCCTGGCAGATCAGGTGTACACTAATGGCCAGACAGTGAACCTGCAGGCAGTCCTGAAAGATGTGTCCATGATACAGAAGCTTCTGGCCATCATGGCGGAAGAGCAGGCAAAGCCACCGCAAGAAACGGAAACCTGCCTGGTAAGAATTTAAGAGAGTTTCCCAGTTATTTCCTGATCTGCACATTTCCAGTTCCAGGTTAGTGACACAAATCATTAAAACCAGGCAACATTCATGTTATGAGAAGCTATAAATGGGATTATGTTTCACCCATGACAGGTTCACTTGAAGGGTTGGTAAAGGCGAAATATAACTACATGTCGCTACATTTCCTCAAATTGAACCTTTCCAAAACCGAGCTCCAAGTTTACCCCCCACCCCGCCCCCCATCCCTCTCCATCACGACCAACAACGCCACCATCAGTCCCACCCCGCAAGCCAAAGTCCTAGGTGTCACCCTAGACTCAAACCTGTCCTTCCAACCCCATGTCCAATCGCTGGCAAATCATGCAGGCTCCACCTCCGCAACATCTCTAAGATACGTACGTTCCTAACCCCAGACACTACTAAACAACTCTTTCACTCCCTTATTATCTCACGTCTGGACTACTGCAACTCCCTTCTCACCGGCCTACCTCATCACAGACTATCCCCGCTTCAGTCTATCCTGAACTCAGCAGCCAGACTCATCCACCTTACCAACCGCTCCACTTCTGCCACCCCCCTCTGTCATTCCCTCCACTGGCTTCCAATTGCCCAACGCATTAAATTCAAACTACTAACATTGATGTACAAAGCCATTCATAACACTGCCCCAAACTACCTCACCGACCTGATACCCAAATACCACCCAACCCACCACTCTTCACTCCTCACAAGACCTACTTTCTAGCTCCCTGGTCTCCTCCTCCCACGCCCGACTGCAGGACTTCTCCAGGACTTCCCCCATCCTCTGGAACTCTCTACCCCAATCCATCAGACTGTCACCTACCCTCCTCACCTTCAGGCGCACCTTGAAAACCCATCTCTTCAGGGAAGCCTACCCCGCCCTCACCTAACAGCCGATCTCCTCCACTCCTCCTACCACTCCATCCCCCACAGCACTTCCTCCTGTACCACTATCCCCTCCCTCCTAGATTGTAAGCTCGAAAGAGCAGGGCCCTCGAACCCCCCGTGTATTGTTTTTGTTACTGTACTGTCTCATGTACTGTCCCCCACTATAATGTACTGCGCTGAGCAAACCTTTTGGCGCTATATAAATGTATAATAATAATTTTTAAAAACGTTTCCTCCTTCCAATTTTGCATACCCTGTGTAACAAAACAAAACAAAAAAAAAAAAAACAAAACAAAGAAAAGAAAATCCTCCAGTTTCCCTGTGTAAGGGAGCACTTGACAACAGCTGTTAATTCCCAGAGCCATGACTTCACCCATAGGCTATCATGGGTTATCTGCTGTTGGCCCTCCCGCCTCTCCTTTGCAGCAGTTGCCCTGTGACTGGACGGGTAGGAGGAAGGGTCGAAGGTAAATTTTGATAAGAATAGTTACAGTTAGCCTTATCTTCCACTTTAAGGCATTGCATACAATTTTTTTCCGCATCAGTTATGTGGGTGGCCTTACTGTGAACCTGTGCTCCGCTTCTAGGAGCAGACATAAGTGCTCGGTATTCCTGATTATATGAAAGAAAATCTACAGCATCTCTCGTCGCTCAGACAGCCAGCGTTGTTATAGGGGGGAGGTAGGGTGTCTTTTTGGCTTGCAGCTTGCACAGGACTTACTCTCCTTGTTATTAGTAGTTGAAAACCTTTTATCACTGTGAGAAAAAAAATATAATGGCAAAAACTATTTTATTTATTTTTTTTTATTTTTTTTTTTTAGCCTTTTCCCCTTCTTTGTTTTGTAGATGCAGAGTGAGCCTTCTGAAGTCATAGATCGCTCCTTCTTGGCAATGCTGCCTGGGCAGACACTCACAGACAAGCTGTACAATTCCTGGATTCGATTACAGAGTCATGTTAACATTGTGTTTGACAGTGATATGGATAAACTGATGACAGACAAGTTCCCTGGGATCAGGCAGGTCAGAACTTTACTGTTGATATCTTTGGGCTAACTATATGAACAGTTTTTACGTGTCTTACCAGCATAGTCCTCAGTGGATTTGTAAAATGCAGCAGTAAAGTTGAAATTAGACACTGAAATGGTCAAAAACAGAAACCTTGTCATGCTGAGATTACCACCAGGGTTCTTGAGTGAGTGGGAATCTCTGCAACAGAAACCCAGACAGCAGTAATATAGGACAGATAAAGCCTTACGCTGTCTATAGATAGGAAGGGATTTAAAATGTAATGGTTTTGGATGGAAGTTACATTTAATGACCCTGGGTCTAAAGAGAACCCTTTCTTGAAATATGACAGTTTATTTCAAACTTGGACCTGATGGCTTCAGTATTACATTAACTTTTAAAGGAGAAGTACAGCAAAAGCTTTTTTGGATGTGCTTCTCCTGTGGATCACGGGAGTGCAGTTCGTTCTGCACACCTGTGACCCATTTTCAGCTGACTGCGGACTGAACTCTGCTGTTGCCTGACATCACTCAGGCAGTCTGGGCAGGGGAAATATCCCGACTTCAAAGTCAGGATCCACCCCAGAGTCTGGAGCAGCACCTAGCTCAGCCTGTCAGCGAAGCACTGAGAGCCTGAGCCAGCCGCTCCCTCCAGTGCTCCAGTGAACGCTGGGGAGGCTGAGCAGACAGTGGTGACTGACAATCCTGCTGTCTGCTCAGAGCATCTGTGAGAACTCAGTGATCAGTGGTCATGTGATTCTCCCTCTTAGAGGCAATGGAGGACAGATGCAGGATGATCGGACCGATGTTGCATCCACCAAGGTAAGTAAAAAAATTAATATTGAAAAAAAAGCCCTACTTCTCTTATAAAGCAGATCGTAACTTTGGCTCATAAAAATAAACCTGAGGTCCACTTTAATATCCCTCTTCCCCACATTCCAGCAGCATATGTAAATCTATAATTTTTTCAGCGCTGCACTTCCTTGTTTATTAAAATGTCCAAGCAAATCAATAGACTCAATAACTCAAAGTATAAATTATAGATATCCCATCTTGGATCCGATGAAAGAACGCTGATAAATAAATAAATCAAAAGTTCCAATATATAAACAATAAATAAGATCAAGTGACTCTTGTGCTTTGGGGACTCTGGACCCGGTAACAGTGCAATAGTGGTATAGGTAATGCGCACTCACTGGACGCGCATGTTAATTGCGCCTTATGTTATTAATCCAGATGTCATCAGATAGGGGAGGGTCAGGAGATGGATGGTCTTCCCTCTAAGGGATGGTGGGTCATCAGACAGGATACTAAGAGGCTAGTATAGGTAATCCTCGTCCTCTAGGAGTCCCCCTTTCCCAGACCTGTTCTTAATTTCTTGGTAAGCAGATATCCACTAATGGGTAATGATCCGTCCTGGAGTGGTGGGTCTGTTGGTTTAAAGAGCTCCCCCAGGGAGTAGGAACAAGGATACTCCCATAGTGTAGTAGGTAATTACAACTTTATTGTGATGCATCAAGAAGTATAGAGTAAAAACAGCAGACAGTGATCATGACTAACCATCTGAAATCAAAGATGGCCGCCGGAGCTCCACGTTGCTCTGGCGGCATGACGTCACGGCGTGATGTGGCTCCTCCTTATCTCCTATCTGATGACATCTCGATTAATAACATAAGGCACAATTAACATGCGCGTCCGGTGAGTGCGCATTACCTATACCGCTATTGCACTGTTACCGGGTCCAGAGTCACCAAAGCACAAGAGTCACTTTATCTTATTTATTGTTTATACATTGCAACTTTTTATTTATTTATTTATTTTTTGCAAGTTCTCCCACTTAGAAATCACGGAGGGGTCTGAAATTCACATTGTAGGTGCATTCCCACTCTGAGAGACAGAATTTAAAAAAAAATTCAGGAAATCACATTGTATGATTTTTAATCAATTTGTCTTGCACTGCTGAACATAAGTATTTGAACACCTAAGAAACAGCAAGAATTCTGGCTCTCAAAGACCTGTTACTGTGCCTTTAAAAAGTCCACCTCTACTCCACTCATTAATCTAACTTAGTAGCACCTGTCTGAGCTCTTTAAAGACACCTGTCCACCCCACAGTCAGTCAGACGCCGACTGCTACCATGGGCAAGACCAATGAGCTGTCAAAAGACACCAGAGACAAAATTGTGGACCTCCACAAGGCTGGAAAGGGCTACGGGGCAATTGCCAAGCAGCTTGGTGAAAATAGATCAACTGTTGGAGCAATTGTTAGAAAATGGAAGAGGCTAAAGACGACTGTCAGTCTCCCTTGGACTGGGGCTCCATGCAAGATCTCACCTCGTGGGGTATCACTGATAAGAAAGGTGAGGAATCAGCCCAGAACTACAAGGGAGGAGCTGGTCAATGACATGAAGAAAGCCGGGACCACAGTTTCAAAGGAAGGTTCCCCTGCCCAAGTCATCACATGTCCAGGCCCATCTGAAGTTTGCCAATGACCATCTGGATGATCCAGAGGAGGCATGGGAGAAAGTCATGTGGTCAGATGAGGCCAAAGTAGAACGTCGTGTTTGGAGGAAAAAGAAGGATGAGTTGCATCCCAAGAACACCATCCCTACTGTGAGGCATGGGGATGGTAACATCATGCTTTGGGGGTGCTTTTCTGCGAAGGGGACAGGACGACTGCACTGTATTAAGGAGAGGATGAATGGGGCCATTTATTGTGAGATTATGAGCAACAAAATCCTTCCCTCAGTCAGAGCATTGAAGATAGGTCTTGGCTGGTATTCCAGTATTCCAACATGACAACGACCCGAAGCACACAGCCAGGATAACCAAGGAGTGGCTCCGTAAGAAGCATATCAAGGTTCTGGAGTGGCCTAGCCAGTCTCCAGACCTAAATCCAATAGAACATCTTTGGAGGGAGCTGAAACTCCATGTTGCTCAGCGACAGCCCCGAAACCTGACAGATCTAGAGGAGATCTGTGTGGAGGAGTGGGCCAAAATCCCTGTTGCAGTGTGTGCAAACCTGGTCAAGAACTACAGGAAACGTTTGACCTCTGTAATTGCAAACAAAGGCTTCTGTACCAAATATTAACACTGATTTTCTCAGGTGTTCAAATACTTATGTTCAGCAGTGCAAGACAAATACATTCTTTAAAAATCATACAATGTGATTTCCTGAATTTTTTTTTAAATTCTGTCTCTGAGTGGGAATGCACCTACAATGTGAATTTCAGACCCCTCCATGATTTCTAAGTGGGAGAACTTGCAAAATCGCAGGGTGTTCAAATACTTCTGTTCCACACTGTATTTAAGGCGCTCGCACCTTTGTTTACATATATTTAAATCTTTGCTTCACTCCCAGCTGTTTGGTATAGCTTCTTGATGCAAAGCAAATACACCCAGCTAGGGAGGAATAGAAGACTCACACCCCTTCATCTCATGTGACAGCTTTGGTGTTTGGTGCCAAGCGCTGCCAGAATTGGGGAAATAGTCCTCAATCTCTCCTGATGTAAGCTTCAATTGAAGTTACTTGGAACTTACACGACTTCTTTTTCTCCCTTCCAGCAGCTAGTTGGACAAAGAAATGGTAAGAATTTTAGAGTCAGGAGCACTGCTTTCCCCTGCTGGGCAGGTTTGATTTAAGTGTTACAGTGGTATTGAAGTTTTGTTTTGTTTTTTTTAGTTACTAAAGGCTCAGCATTTTATACTCTATTGACTTCTTAAAGGATAAGTTCACCTTCGGGAATATGTTACATACGTTTTTAGGGTAACATGTTCCCACTCCTGCAGCGGTTCGGCTATCAGAGTCCTGTGTGTGACAGCAGTACAGGGAGAAGTTCCCCATACCAGCTGTCAAAGTTTTAAGAGTTCTGTGAATGAATCAACTACAAATACTGACATCCTTTGTGGATGTCGGCATGTAGTTTTCAATGAACTATCATGGTGCTGTTGAGTGCTGTGGTAGTTCATTGATTCTTCCTGTCAGTTTGAAACTGCCTGCATGTACGAGCAGATGGATTACACTGACAGTCTGCAGGAGTCCTGCATGGCACCATCTGCTGATCGCTGGTGCAATGCTATCCAGGCTGCTTAAGATAAATAAATAAATAAAAGGTAAAAGCACATTACCTGCAAAAAAAAAAAAAAATCATTTTTATTTATTCAGATTTTTTTATGTTTTATGGTTGAACTGGATGGACTTTTTGTCTCTTTTTCAGCCAGACTAACTATGTAAATTAACAGCACGGCACAGACCGCTGCTTCCCTCAAGTTTTGGGTAGGGAAGCATGCTCCCTGTGTAAGTGAAGAGCAGCGGAGTGGCTTTCATGCTTCTTTTCCACAGGTTCAAGTAGTTATCAGTGGAAGAGCGTGTGCAAAATTGACTGCATGGGTCTGTCTGTGGGGACAAAAACACTTCAAAACAGCAAGCAGGGAAGAGGCCAATTTCAGAAGAGAAATGAGGGAAGGAATGAGCTAAATAGAAAAGCAAACTGGCAAATAGAAGTGCTGAGATCTGCAGCAGTTTGACATTACCATTTTATCTGAAAGCTGGTTTAGTCATCCACCATTTCTATATTTATTTAAAAATGTTTCTATTACTACTGTGGAACTTATAGAAAGATTTCTCTTTGCTTCTTCTCCCAGTGATGACCATACTGACCAAGGACAGGAAGTAAGGGGAAACTTGTCGATTAGGAACACAGGCAGCAAAAAACAACCCAAGAGGTTCCAGCTTCTTCCCACAAAAAATAGCTTATCCCCACAAAGTCTTTGTATAGATTACTTTGAGATAAAAATGATCTGTATTCTATTATAGATACTGGAGAAGAAAGAAGGTCTGTTCCGAAAACACATGATGGGAAAGCGTGTGGACTATGCTGCACGATCTGTTATTTGTCCCGATATGTACATCGGCACCAATGAGATTGGAATTCCAATGGTATGTAGAGTTTACGTACTGTAGGTGGGTTATCTGAGTTTTTCTGCACACAGGAGATGGGCATCACCGACTGAGAATGGAGCACTTAGGTTTCTAAACAGTGGGCTGGAAGACAAGGTATAGATAGCAAGTCAGAAGTTCTAACCCTTCCCCGCTCTGCTGAAATGTGCTATCTTAATCATGCAGTACAGGACACAGGCAAAGTATTCATAGACACTGGGTTAAGGACCCTACCCCATCCTGTGAGTCCTCAGTTTTGTGTCAAGCAATGTAGAGGAAACCAAGGAATGAAAGGGAATGTGGCATATGTGGCCTGTGTCCTGCACTCCCAAGATATGGAGTATGTCCAAATCTTGTAGACTTCACCTCCTCAACAACTCCAAGATACGCCCGTTCTTAACTACCGAAACCACTAAGCAACTTATTCACTCCCTGGTTCTCTCTCACCTTGACTATTGTAACTCCCTCCTCATTGGCCTACCTCATCGCAGGCTATCCCCTCTTCAGTCTATCATGAATGCTGCTGCCATACTCATCCACCTGACTAACCGTTCCATATCTGCCACCCCTTTCTGCCAATCCCTCCACTGGCTTCTCATTGCCCAACGGATAAAGTACAAAACATTATCAATAACATATAAAGCCATTTATAACTCTGCCTCAAATTACATCACCGATCTTGTCTCCATATATCACCCAAACCATCCTCTCCGCTCCTCCCATGACCTCCTGCTCTCTAGCTTCCTTGTCTCTTCCTCCCATGCACGTCTCCAGGATTTCTCCAGAGCCTCCCCCATCCTCTGGAACTCTCTACTCCAATCATCCCACTATCGCCTACTCTACACACTTTTATACGTTCTCTGAAAATTTATCTCTTCAGGGAAGCCTATCCTGCCCTCAGCTAATAATGGAATCTTCTATTCCTCCTACCTGTCCATCCCCCACAGTTATTACCTTTTGTACCACCAGCACCTCCCTCTTAGATTGTAAGCTCCAAGGAGCAGGGCCCTCCTAACCCTCTTGTATTGAACTGTATTTTTGCTGTATTGTCTCCCATTATATTGTAAAACGCTGAGCAAACTGTTGGCGCTATATAAATCCTGTATAATAATAATAAAAGTTACAGGTGTGTCAAAATTGCTCCCCTCTTCAGACCCGTTCACACTGAAGGGGCAGATGCCAGAGAGCAAACTGCAGCACTTTAACTCTCCAGCAGCTATTTGTTCTAGCTACGGTAGGGAGGACTGTGGTGCGTGATTTACAGCATCACACAACTCCCCTATTTATTTACTTAGTTCTTTTTAAACACTGAACTTTATTTGAAGTGTACAAAAGTACACTTCATGTCACTGTACAGCAGGATGATGGGACGATGTGCTGCTGTACAGTGACATTTGATTCTGTACAGCATGAATTTTATCGCAGCGTGCTGCAGTGCAGCTTTGGGCTGCATTGCAGTGGGAATAGGACACCAGGGGGGGGATTTACTAAAACCGGTGGGCAAAGAATCTGGTGCAGCCGTGCATAGTAACCAATCGGCTTCTAATTTCAGCTTCTTCAATCAGGTTTTGACAATAAAACATAGAAGCTGATTTGTTTACTATGCGCAGCTACACCAGATTCTGTGTGCATCCTTTTGGTAAATCTCTCCCTGTGTGTCCTTGCGGTGACAGCACATAATGTGAATTGACCCTTAATACCTAGACGCCAATTGCACACAAATATGCGGCCTCTCGGCATCTGGGCCTTGACGCGAAGCGGCCGCATATTTGCGTACCAGTTGAAAATACATATGTGTTGAGAGCACGCGTGCTCCCAGCACATATGTCTGTGACTCACAGAAAGGTCCCGATCTCCCCTTGCGATCGGGACCTTTTCCAATCATGTGACCGCCGTGACAGCAAATCATAGTCGGTCACATGACCCTAAAACCCCGCCCCGCCTCCTGACTTCTGAAACCTCTTAAAGGGCCAGGAGGCGCCGGCGCAAAGGGGTTAATCATACAGTACAGGAGTCATTCATACCCTATGGGACATCTCCAAGCAAAAGGTGGGCTACAATGAGGTAAACAGAACTGTGCCAACAGGTCAGAAGACCTGTCCTGACCTTAAGTGAAGGGAAATCTCCTCAGTAGGGACAGACAGGGTTAAAAACCAGACAGAAGATCTGTTCTTCCTTGCTCTATACAAGCAAAATGTTTTGGCTGAAGTATAAGTTTGAAGGACACTCACTCCAGTAATGTTGATTGCAGGATATAGCATCTCCCCCAGTTAATGGCAGAGAGAACCGCTTATGCATATTGAATCAGTCTCCTTATTGATAGCAGGATATGCCCAGTTACATCAGCCAGCAGAATAAATGTCTTATATAAGGTGGTATAAATATAAAGCTTTTGAATTATTAATGATATTTGTTGGTTTTTCACTGCTGATGGATTTACTTTTTCTGTATAAGGTGTTTGCTACAAAACTGACCTACCCTCAACCTGTGACAGCATGGAACGTGCAGGAACTCAGGCAGGCTGTTATGAATGGGCCAAATGCTCACCCTGGAGCCTCCATAGTGGTCAGTGAAGACGGCTCACGTACAATATTGAGTCCCACTGATGCAGCACAGAGGGAGGCCATTGCAAAGCAGCTTCTTACTCCATCCACCGGTGTAAAGAGATTGACCTCCAAGATTGTGAGTTCCTCAGATTTGCTGTTTTATTAGTCTGTAGTGTTCATGCTCCAGGGATGGTCATATTGGTTGTAGCTTTACCTTTTTCCTCTGATCCTGGTGTATCAGGCAGCAACACTGGAACTTAAAGGAAAAGTGTGGGAATAGTAAAAAAAAATATATATATACATACTTACTTACCTGCTGCAGCATCGGTCCAATGCTGTAGCTGTACCCTGATGACTCTAAGCTCAAGAACTGATTCCCCCCCCAAAATCCATACCAGACCCTTATCTGAGCATGCAGCCCAACATACCCTCAACATGGGGGGTTGCTCTCCCTCCCCCCCCCCCCAAAGTACCTTGTCTCCATGTTGATGGGGACAAGGGCCTCTTTCCAACAACCGTGCCCGCATACCCCCACAACCACTGGCCAGGGTTGTGGGAAAGAGGCCATTGTCCCCATCAACATGGAGACAAGGTGCTTTGGGGGGTGGAGCAACCCCCCATGTTTAGGGCATGTGGGCTGCATTCTCAGATAAGTGTCTGGTATGGATTTTGGGGAGACCCCCACACTATTTTTTTTTTTAATTTTGGGAGTTCCCCTCAAAAATCCATACCAGACCCGAGGGGCCTGGTATGGATGGGAGGGGGGGACACCACGCTATTTTTTTAATTTATTATGGTGCCGGTTTTTAAATGTTTTATTACCGCCTTTTTTTTTTTTTTTTTCTCTTTACTATAGCTCAGAAATTCAGCTGTCACTTTCCTCTAGCTAAAAAGAAAGTTTTTTTTCTTTTAGTTTGTTTCCCATTAAGAGAAACCAATGTTTCCTTTTAGTTTCTTAAAAGAAACGTTTCCGTTAACTCTGGGGAAAGTGAGAGCTAATTCTATGAGCTATAGTGAAGAGAAAAAAAAAAAAAAAGCCGGCAATTGCATTTAAAAATCCGCACTGACATACACTTTGTATTGTGAAAAAAAATTTGTAAACCGAAAATTACGTTAACTGAGGCATTTGTAAACGGAGGTATTACTGTATTGCAATACATCTAATGGATCACCATCTTTTAGACCCTGTATGTCCCAATAAAGAGAACCTGTCACCCAAAAATCATGGCAAAGGGGACTTTATGTCCCCTATGTGATGGGAAATAAAAAGGTGTGAAGTAAAAAAAAAAAAGGTACACCCAAGCACATAACATCCCCCCCCCCCCCCCCCCCCCCCAAAAAAAAAAGTTGAGTCCCCCCCATATATACACACACGTACGAACATAAATGCACACGTCAGGGCGGCTGTGTGTGAAAACGTCGATTGCGATACAGATGTTACATATCACCATACACGCCGCAGCAATAATTCTAGCACCAGACCAGTAACCATTGATGACCTGTAGGGGCTTTTGAAGCATTGCCTATGGAAAATATAGGGTATTGATGTTTGACGAAATTTCACAGGCACACACAAGTTTAAGGTTTGGCATGTTGGGTATCTATTTACTCGGCAACAACATCATCTTTTATATTGTACCAAAAATTTGGATAATGTATTGTGTTTGTTTGCCCTAAAATTCACTTTAGTGTGATTTTTACTGAAATTTTGTGTTTCCTAGACCTTTGCAATAATATCGAGTGACATAAAAAATTGGAACTACCCTCTATATCTGCTTTCAGAAAATATATAATGTTTGGGGGTTTTTTGTGTAATCTTCAGGCCAAAAATGATTTTTTTTTAATTGTGTGCAAAAAAAATGCCAAAACGGCTCTGGCAGTGAACATTTATTTGTTTTACTGAGGAATCTCACGTGAGTTAAAGAGACCCTGTCACCAACTTAAATAATTGCACATACGTGCACACAAAATTTAATATTTTAAATGCTTGCTTACAGTGTTTTCCTTTTCGGAAACTATTTTTAATTTGCTTGCAATGTTCCTTTGAATTTATTGGAAAATTTGACTAGACCACGGAGAGTTCATTCCCTAGCGTAGCCCCCTTAATCATTGCATGTCATAGCTCTCTCTTTTTCTGGGAACATTTTATTACTGTTTGTGCTTGCCCAGCTCCTCTGCCTTTCCCTTCACTCGTAAATAACTTTATGTAGCTGCCAATGGAGGAGCAAAAAAGAATACTATATGTCACTTAAAGTGTTACTAAACCCAGGACCCTGCATTCACTATATCTGGTCTCCCACAGTACACACAACATGGAAATGCAAATATTTTAGTAAATATAAACTGCTGAACACCTTTTCTCATCAACAGTATATAACAGTCTTGTGACCTTTTATCAGTGTTTAGCAGAGCACTGGTAAAAGCTTGTAGGAAGAGTTTTAATTCTGCTCTAGTAGGATGCAGAACCCCTCACCTCTGTCTCTTGTGCTGATTGGCCCTGTGCTGATCACATGCAGTCTCCCAAGAAAGGAAAAAAAAAAAAAACCTCTCTAGCAATACACATCAAACTGAGCATGTGCAGAGAGTCTACACACAATATGTCTTATCAGTAGATAAGAGGGGGGGGGCGGTAGAAGAAGGGGTGGATCAAAAATCAGGATCAAACGGCATTTTTACACAATGCAGAGGATTAACCCCTTAGGTTCCACAGTGAGTATAACAAGCATGCTTTACTGCATCTACAGACTGATTTCACTGTTGTGGGTTTAGTAACACTTTAAGTGAAAGCTGTGAGTCTGTTGAGGACATCACGTTAGCAGCAGTCTCAGGGCTTTTGGATGGCTACACAAAGGAGGGTTTTACAGGTTAAAAGCATACATAATAAATTAAATGCACAAAATCTTACGGGAAGATTGTTGTAGTAATCAATGGTCTGGATTTCTTGTTTTAGGGTTGGCTGTTTAGTTCATTTCCAACAGATTACTGTGTCATGTATTTTGTACTTTGTGTCTGTCAGGTGTATCGCCACATAAAGAACGGGGACATCCTGCTGCTTAATCGGCAGCCCACCTTACACAGGCCATCCATACAAGCCCACAAGGCTCGGATACTTCCAGGGGAGAAGGTCCTGAGGTTGCACTATGCCAACTGCAAGGCTTACAATGCTGACTTTGATGGTGATGAAATGAACGCTCACTTCCCTCAGAGCGAACTAGGCCGGGCAGAAGCCTACACCATAGCGTGTACTGATGAGCAGTACTTGGTGCCTAAGGTAGTACAGATCTAAAATAATCCTGTTTTTTTTTTTTTTTTTTTAAAGTTTTAAAAACCTCTGCTAGCTGGATGCAGTAAAACAATGCAAGTCCCAGTGATGATTTTCAAACATAGATAAACTCATGGAATTACGATTGCTGTATAGATGGATGTGTTTGGCACAGTCATTCCTCTTTGCAGTGCTTTCTTGAATAATCTTCAATATATAAAGTAAAATCATTGCAATAGAGTAAAATACAACTGCATTTTAGGTGTTTTTGTTTTGTTTTTAACCACTTACCCTCCTGAGGATTTACCCCCGTCCTGACCAGGCCATTTTTTGCGTCACGGTGCTGCGTTGCTATAACTGACAATTGCGTGGTCATGCAAAGCTGCACCCAAATGAAATTTACGTCCTTTTTTTTTTTTTTTCCCCACGAATAGAGCTTTCTTTCAGTGGTATTTGATCGCCTGTGCGTTTTTTATTGTTTGCACTATAAAGAAAAAGAAAAGACCAACAATTTTGAAAAAAACCCCAATATTTTTGCTATTAAACATGTCCAGTAAAAAAAAATGTAAATCTAATTTTGCCATAAATTTAGGCCAAAATGTATTCTGCTACATGTCTTTGCAAGAAAAAATCCCAATACGTGTAAATTAATTGGTTTTACGTAAACGTTATAGCGTTTACAAATGGCGCTATAGATACTGGAATTTTTATTTTTACTAGTAATCAGCGAATTACAGCAGGACTGCGGCGGGTATTCTGACACTGTGGGGAACTGATTTGGTGTCATTGAGATTTCCCCAGTGACACCAATACATTGATCAGTTCTAAATAAAAGCACTGACACTGTACTAAGGGCACTGGGCAGGAAGGGGTTAACATGAGATATGATCAAAGGGTTAACTGTGAGCTGTTTTACTTGTCTCTGTGTTGTTCACTTTAATTACACTCTTTTGCATGGCTGTGCTGTGCATAAGCTACAGAGCCTTGTCACGGAACCCCAGTATTCTGTAGTTCCTAACTCTCCAATTTTAAGAGCCCCCATAGTAGAGGCACATGTATTTAATGGATAGACCAAGGGCAGGTGGACCCACCCCTCCTTAAAGGTACAGGAGCGCACTGGACACCCAGCATGTAGCACAAAGGCAGCTAAGGTGTCCAGTGCGCCCCCTCGACCAACAATTCATCAGTACAAAAATTGGACTGGCTGAGTGACATCAGCCGACAGTGGGCTTCAGCCAGCTGAAAATGAGCTGCACTCCTGTGATCCACAGGAGAAGTGCAGCCAAAAGCGCGCTTTGGCTGTACCTCCTTTTTAAGTCCCTAAGCACGTACATTGATTCTTTGCCTTCCCGGTGCCTGAATATGCCTGTATTTGATGTTGATGGGTCATACCACCCACGAGGCTTAACCATGTTCTTTCTCAAAATTTGTTGTTTTTTTTCTTTTTTTGGGCTCCACCAATAATAACACAGGCAAAAGTCTGAGGTTTCTGAAATATAACTGAGATAAGACCGATATATCACTTTTATGTTTTTGGCACCGTAATGCAACTCGGGGGGTTGGACACAACGACTATGCTGATTGGGACTCATAGTTCATTCATTAACAAATTACATACTATAGACCTATTTCAGGAAGCTCTCAACAGCTTATGGAAAAAAATGATCGTTTTTGTATTTTTTTTTTTTGTCCTGATCATCCTGTTGTCTGCCAGTTTCTCTTATGTTATGTTATTTTATTCTTTTTTTTCCCCCCCCCCCCCCCCCCGTAAAGGATGGGACGCCATTGGCAGGACTGATCCAGGATCATATGGTGTCTGGGGCAAGTATGACCATCCGGGGTTGTTTCTTTACCAGGGAACAGTACATGGAGCTGGTCTACAGAGGGCTGACGGATAAAACAGGTCGGGTGAAAACCCTTCCGCCAGCAATCATGAAACCACGCAAACTATGGACAGGAAAGCAGGTAATGCAAACAAGCAATTTGTATTTTATAGGCAGCAGCTGAAGCTGTTCTGCATTCTCTATTCGGGTCACGCTAATGGTTCTTTTACTTTTAGCTAGTTTGCTAGCATCTCCCGGCTATTCATGCTTTATCCTAATACTATGCATTTTATTTATGTGGTGGAAGGAGGCAGGAACTTCAGTCCAAGCATACTGGGCTTCATCTGTGTCATCGTATGTTTTGGCCCACTACAGCCAGTAAGCACATCCCTGTGACCCACAGGAGAAGATTGGCCAAAAAAAGCTTTGGTCATACTTCTATTCTAATGTGTATACAACTCCAAACTGCTACGTTCTTTCATTTGCTACCCAGTCTGTTCAATATAACATTGTATCAAATACCGAAAAATAAAAAAGCAGGAGTCCCAAAATGGTATTTCCTCCACCAATCCAAACACCACCCTTGCATAGGAAGTCTTTTTGGAACCAGTCCTCAATTCTTCATAAAGTCCAAATTTAGGACCAAAAAAAAACAATTTTAGTGGACATGGATATTCCAAAATGCTAACTATTCAAATTTATTGATACCAGACACAAATCATGAAACAAGTCTATCAAATATTTCAACCAATTTTGTCAACCCCCAAGACTATAAAGTTCATATCCAAAGATCTGTATATTTTAACAAGATGGGCTTTGTATGGGGGCTTTATATTAATTGTCCTCCAAGCTGCTTTGTAGACACCCAAGGCTGCCTTGAGGTTGCTAGATATGGGTGAAACGCATTGACTAAACGCCTTGTTTTTGATGTCTGGGCACTTAACCCCTGACACCATTTGGACTGGGTGTACAGGGGTAAATGTTTGTGTTGGTTACCTTCTACCTCTTGTGGAGTAAATATATCTTTATATAGAGAGAACTCGAGGTGTGTGCGTGTGTGTTTACAACTTATTTGTTTTTTTTTCAGGTATTAACCAAATCCTATTCAAGCTGTAGTTCTAATATGGATTTGGGCTGAAAGTGCACACTCTCAGGTTTAATTTGAGGGTATGTACATCCAAATTGGAGGAAGGGTTTAGGAATTACAGCTCTTTTTCATGGACCAAAAGTAATTGGACAATTGAATATAATCATAAATAAAATGTTAATTTTTAATATTTTTTTGAGAATCCTTTACTGGCAATGACTGCCTGAAGTCATTGCCAAAGGGTTTCCTCCTTTCTAATTTTTTTGCTAGGCTCTAACTTCAGCCTTCTTCAGTTGTTCTTTGTTTGTGGGTCTTTCTACCTTTAGTTTTGCCTTCAGCAAGTGAGATGCATGCTCAATTGGGTTGAGATCAGGTGATTGACTCGGCCATTGCAGAATATTCCGCTTCTTTTCATTCAACAGCTCCTGGGTTGCTTTTGCAGTGTGTTTTGGATCATTGTCCATCTGTACTGTGAAGCGCTGTCCAATCAACTTTGCTGCATTTTTCCTGAATCTGGGCTTACAGTATATCTGTAAACACTGCAGAATTCATCCGGCTGCTTCTGTCTTCTGTCACATCATCAATAAACACCAATGACCCAGTGCCACTGGAAGCCATGCATGCCAATGCCATCACACTGCCTCCGCCATGTTTTACAGATGACGTTGTGTGCTTTGGATCATGAGCTGTTCCAAGCCTTCTCCACACTTTCTTCTTCCCGTCATTCTGGTACAGATTAATCTTCGTTTTATCCATCCAAAGAATGCTTTTCCAGAACTGGTCTGACCTTTTTTTTAGATGTTTTTTTGGCAAAGTCTAATCTGGCTTTTCTATTCTTCAGGCTTATGAATGGTTTGCACCTTGTGGTGAACCCTCTGTATTTGCTTTTGTGAAGTCTTCTCTTGATTGTAGACTTTGACAATGATACGCCCACCTCCTGGAGAGTGTCCTTCACTTGTCTGGATGTTGTGAATGGGTTTTTCTTTACCATAGAGAGGATCCTGCGATCATCCACCACTGTTGTCTTCCATGGACATCCATGCCTTTTTATGTTGCTGAGCTCACCAGTGCGTTCTTCTTTCCTCAGATTGTACCAAATTGTTGATTTGGCAACTCCTAATGTTGCTGCTATCTCTCTGATGGATTGGTTTAATTTTTGAAGCCTTATAATGGCCTGTTTCACTTGCATGGACAGCTCCTTTGAATTCATGATGTAGGTTCACAGCAATGGATTCCAAATGCAAATACCACACTTATAATCAACTCCAGACCTTTTTACCTGCTTAATTGATGAAGAATTAACGAAGGAGTAGAGTAGCCCACACCTGGCCATGAAACAGCTTTTGATTCAATTGTCCAATTACTTTTGGTCTCTTGAAAAAGGGGGACTGGCTACTCTAAAGAGCTTTAATTCCTAAACCCTTCCTCCAATTTGGATGTACATACCCTCAAATTAAACCTGAGAGTGTGCACTTTCAGCCCATATCCATTATATAAGTATAGCTTGAATGTGTTTTTGTTAATACCTGAAAAAAAAACTAAAAGTGTGTGTGCGTGCGTGTATAAAAGGAAAGGAAGGGGGTGGTGGAAGGAAGGAACGAGGAAAGGAAATGGTGGCTGGAAGGAAGGAAGGGAGTGGTGAAAGGAAGGGGTGGGTGGAAGGAAGGATTGGAGGGAAGGGAGGGATGGGTGGAAGAAAGGATTAGAGGGAAGGAAGGGTGGATGGGTGGAAGGAACGATTGAAGGGAGGGGTGGGTGGAAAGGAAGGTAGGTCGGTCGGACTCACTGGCTCATTCAGAAGCATCAGAGCTGTCAGCTGCTCTGTGTTCTGTTTCCCAAGCCATAGAGGAGATCGCTGAAGTGAGTACACCCCTCACATTTTTGTAAATATTTTATTATATCCTCATGTGACAACACTGAAGAAATGACACTTTGCTACAATGTGACGTAGTGAGTGTACAGCTTGTATAACAGTGTAAATTTGCTGCCCCTCAAAATAACTCAACACACAGCCATTAATGTCTAAACCGGGGGCAACAAAAGTGAGTACACCCCTAAGTGACAATGTCCAAGTTGGGTCCAAAGGGGTTTATTTACTAAAGCTGGAGAGTCCAAAATCAGACTCCCTTCTGCATAGAAACCAATCAGCTTCCAGGTTTCATTGCCAAAGCTTCATTGAACAAGCTGAGGTTAGAAGCTGATTGGTTTCTATGCAGAAGGGAGTCTGATTTTGGACTCTCCAGCTTTAGTAAATAAACCCCAAAGTGTCAATACTTTGTGTGGCCACCATTATTTTCCAGCACTGCCTTAACCCTCTTGGGCATGGAGTTCACCAGAGCTGTACAGGTTGCCACTGGAGTCCTCTTCCATTCCTCCATGACAAGATCACGGAGCTGGTGGATGTTAGAGACCTTGCGCTTCTCCACCTTCCATCTGAGGATGCCCCACAGATGCTTAATAGGGTTTAGGTCTGGAGACATGCTTGGCCAGTCCATCACCTTTACCCTCCGCTTGTTTTAGCAAGGCAGTGATCTTCTTGGAGGTGTGTTTTGGGGGTCGTTATGTTGGAATACTGCCCTGCGGCCCAGTCTCCGAAGGGAGGGGATCATGGTCTGCTTCAGTATGTCACAGTACATGTTGACATTCATGGTTCCCTCAATGAACTGTAGCTCCCCAGTGCCGGCAGCACTCATGCAGCCCCAGACCATGACACTCCCACCACCATGCTTGACTGTAGGCAAGACACACTTGTCTTTGTACTCCTCACCTGGTTGCCGCCACACACGCTTGACACCATCTGAACCAAATAGGTTTATCTTGGTTTCAACAGACCACAGGACATGGTTCCAGTAATCCATGTCCTTAGTCTGCTTGTCTTCAGCAAACTGTTTGTGGGCTTTCATGTGCATCATCTTTAGAGGAGGCTTCCTTCTGGGATGATAACCATGCAGACCAATTTGATGCAGTGTGCGGTGTATGGTCTGAGCACTGACAGGCTGACCCCCCCCCACCCCTTCAACCTCTGCAGCAATGCTGGCAGCACTCATACATCTATTTCTGAAAGACAACCTCTGGATATGATGTTGAGCACGTGCACTCAACTACTTTGGTTGACCATGGTGAGGCCTGTTCTGAGTGGAACCTGTCCTATTAAACCGCTGTGTGGTCTTGGCCACCATGCTGCAGCTCAGTTTCAGGGTCCTGGCAATCTTCTTATCGCCTAGGCCATCTGTATGTAGAGCAAAAATTCTTTTTTTCAGATCCTCAGAGTTCTTTGCCATGAGGTGCCATGTTGAACTTCCAGTGACCAGTATGAGAGAGTGAGAGTGATAACACCAAATGTAACACACCTACTCCCCATTCACACCTGAGACCTTGTAACATTAAAGAGTCACATGACATCGGAGAGGGAAAATAGCTAATTGGGCCCAGTTTGGACATTTTCACTTAGGGGTGTACTCACTTTTGTTGCCAGCGGTTTAGACATTTATGGCTGTGTGTTGAGTTATTTTGAGGGCACAGCAAATTTACATGTTATACAAGCTGTACACTGACTACGTCACATTGCAGCAAAGTGTCAATTCTTCAGTGTTGTCACATGAAAAAATAGAATAAAATACTTACAAAAATGTGAGGGGTGTACTCACGTCTGTGAGATACTGTGTGTGTGTGTGTATATATATAGTATATATATATATATATATATATATATATATATATATATATTATATATTTGTGTATATGTATATATGTGTGTTTGTGTAATTGTTACTGGATAAAATATCTCTCTGTATACAAGTCCTTATGGGAGAGCGGTTTCCCAGGTGTAATGAACATCCTGTATCATGTTCTGCTGTTTATACTTATTCCCAATAGGTGGCGCCTCCATCCCAAAATGATTTGGTAGTTGAAGTGGAACCTTTGTTTTGCATTCGCACATGTGCACTGTGAATTGAAGCTCCGTTTTCACAGCGAATTGACACAGTAGTTGTTCAGGACAGGATGTTTGATACAGCTGCAAATTCTGTGACTGAGCAAACTGTGCTGAACTCCTGTGCACAACTGATGATGTGCAGTTTAGAAGTGGTTCCCATAGAAGTCAGTGAGTCTATTCTGCACCTGAACCGGACTGCACTGCTCAGAAATGGGACAGGACTCTTTCTGAATTTGGCACTGAATCTGCACTGGCAGTGCACCGCATGTATGTGCACAGGCACAATAGAAACCATTGTTCTTTCACATGTCATGCAAATTGGATGCGAATCAAAACGCACCCAATCTGCATATATGTGAACCGGCCCTCATTCTTAAATGTTTTACACCATCAGGACTTTTCTGACTAAGTGCCTATACTGTTTAAAATCTAGTAATACGCTGTCTCGGCCTGCTCTGCACATGCTCTGTTGCTTTCTATTTTTAGGCACTGTGCTGAAAATGTAGAGGCCGATCTGCTGACAGTCTTTCAGTGATTTCAGTCTCTGAATACTGCATCTTGTCTGCAGGTTTAATGCTGAAATCAGTTCAAGAAAAAAAGATCTCATTTAAAGGAAATCTCTACTTCGTAAAATACATAGATTGCCATTGTTGATTTCCTTAACCTCTTCACGCCTGGAGCACGCAAATGTCCAGGGTCTGGGCCTAGACGCCAAGCGGCCGCACGTTTGCGTGCAATTAACAAAAACCATATGTGCTGAGAGCGCGCTCCCAGCACACATGTCCGTTACTCACGGAAAGGTCCCGGTCTGCTCTTTCAATCGGGACCTTTCCAGATCATGTGACCGCCATGATGACGCGTCACGGCGGTCACATGATCCCTAAACCCCGTCCTGCCTCCCAGCTTCTGAAACTCTTAAAGGGCCGGGAGGCGCCAGTGGGAAGGGGTTAAAGAGGAACTTTAGTCAGAAAATTCAGTCTTGCTAGATTACTTCATACTTGACTTTTGCAAGTATAACTGTGTATATAACATTATGCTGTCCCACCATGTTCTGCACATGCTCAGTTGCTCTCTTTTTTTCAGCAAAGTGCCAGAAATGCAGAGGCCAGTCTAAATATTACTACTGCTCAGGGGCTCTGGGCTTCAGCAAAATGGCAACCTCCGCTACTCATACGACCTCCTGCTCTCTAGCTCCCTTGTCTCCTCCTCCCATGCTCGTCTCCAGGACTTCTCCAGAGCTTCCCCCATCCTCTGGAACTCTCTACGCCAATTTATCAGACTATCGCTGCTCACTTTTAGGCAATCTCTGAAAACCTATCTCTTCAGGGAAGCCTCTCCTGCCTTCAGCTAATAATGGAATCTTCTATTCCTCCTACCAGTCCACCCCCCACAGTTACTACCTTTTGTACCACTACTGTATTGTATTGTATTGAACTGTATTGTCTCCCGTTATATTGTAAAGTGCTGAGCAAACTGTTGGCGCTATATATATATAAATCCTGTATAATAATAATAAAACTGAAATACAAATACAACATTTCTGTGTCTAGGTGAGGATTAAGGGAAGGGCAGCAGGTACCATAAAAACTAGGTACTCGGTACACCCTGCACCCCCCTCCCTCCCCTTCCTTGTTGTGGTTTTGTTAGTGGCCAGGGTGGGGGGAGGAAGATTATGAGAAGAACCTTAGTTTTCTGCTGGGTGAACAAATATTTTTTACATAAATGATTTGGTTTCATTCAAAATGGGAAATAATAGGATTAATAAACCAAAAATCGCCGATTATATAACACAAACTGATAACTTGTCATAGACCTGACATTTTAAATTCCTTTTTCTGGTGTTACCTCCTTCTCACACAGGTAGTTTCTACGTTACTCATCAACGTAATTCCAGATCATCACATCCCTCTTAACCTGACAGGAAAGGCAAAGATTGGTGGGAAGGCGTGGGTGAAGGCCCCATCTAGGCCGATACTGGGTTTTAATTCAGACTCCATGTGTGAGTCTCAGGTAAGTAGTACTGACTTCCCCACTGATTTCATTGTATTACTTAACTAATCAGTAAGAAGTATGACATATGGTGTAGCTGTATTGTTTGTTTGTCTGGTGAGAACTTCAGAACAGTATATGGCATCTCAGGATTGTACAGACTCTATTGGCCCCTTTGCCACCTCAGATACCTCCTATTAAGTACAAATATGACGGAATTGAAGAGTAAAGTGATACTAAAGTCTTTTTTTTTTTTTTTTTTTTCTTTTTTAAACTTACCTGCTCTGTACAATTGGTTTTGCACAGAGCAGCCCCGATCCTTCTCTTCTCGGCACTCTTGGCCCCTCCCTCCTGTTGGGTGCTCTCACAGCAAGCAGCTTGCTATGGGGGCACCCGAGTAGGCACGCTCCAGAGCCACAGCTCTGCATGTCTGTAAACACCAAGCTGTGGCTCAGCCCTGCCCCCCACCTCTCCTGATTGGCTCACTGGCTGTGATTGACTACAGTGGGAGTCAATGGCTCCCACTGCTGCCTTAGCCAATCAGGAGTGAGAGTCCCCGTAAAATAGGACGTTATAGGACGTCCTGGACTTGAAGTGGAGATATCTGGATGATGCCTGCAGCTACAGGCATCATCCAGGTATCTTTCTTTTCAGCCAGTGGTTCCCTGTAATACAAAAGCCATTCTAGTGGCTGATTAGCTGCTAGATGGCTTTTACAGGCAGTGGGAGGGGATGTTTTCCTTGTTGCCAGGCTTCTTGTGCAATTGGGGAGTCCAGGATCCAATTTGGCGGTGGCGGGTTACCACGGAGCTGGTGTGAGGTATCACTGTAAACATTATATTGAGAGCAATAATTGTAGGGCTAGACCTCCTCTGTAACTCTAAACTGGTAACCTGTAAACAAAGCGTTGCCTATGGAGATTTTTAAGTACCGTATTTTGGCAGCATTCCACAAGTGTGCGCAGTTTTAATGCATAACATGTTAGGTATCTATTTACTTGGCATAACATGATATTTTATGTTCTACCAAAAAATTGGGTTATATATTGTGTTTTTTTTTTTTCTTTTTTTTGTTTGCATTAACCAATTCCAGTCCGGACACTTTTACCCCCTTCCTGCCCAGGCCAATTTTCAGCTTTCAGTGCTATCACACTTTGAATGACAATTGCACGGTCATGCAACACTGTACCCATATGAATTTTTTTTGCATTTTTTTGAGACAGATAACGCTTTATTTTTATTTATTCACCACTGGGATTTTTATTTTTTTTGCTATGTAAATGAAAAAGTCCCAAAATTTTGAAAAAAAGTGTTTTTTTCTTATAAAATTTTGCAAATAAATAGTATTTTATCATAAATCTTGGCCAATATGTATTCCGTTATCTTTTTAGTAAAAAAAAAAAAAGTCAAATTAGTTTATAACCAAAAATTATAATTTTTGAACTTTGTTTTTTACTTTTTTTTTATATTTTTATATTATTATTTATGTTTTTTTTTTTTTTTGTTTTTTTTTTATGTCACCCTAGCAGTACAGTGTCACCATGGTGACACTGTACTACTTGTAGAGGGTGATGAAGATTTTTTTTTTTTACACTGATTGCTTTTACACCCATAAAGGCTGTAAAAGCAATCATTTCTTCTTCTTTCTGGCTGCATTCTTGCAGCCATTGAGAACTACTGAGTGAGCTGTGATTGGTCACAGCTTGTCACATTGTACAAGGCTGTTGTGAATAGCCTTGTACCATGTGACCTCTGTGATCATTCACAGATTTCACATGCAGTAAGCAATAATGTCACAAGTGACATCTTGCTTACTACTCTGCATGTGATCACTGATTGGCCAATCAGTGATCACATCATCGGGACCTTGCAGAGAGGTCCCGTCCGACGATCGGTGTTCCACTGTGTCTGGAAGACACAAAACGGGCACCGAATCGCGGTGCTGCACGCTCCCAGGAAGCGTGCACAAGCAGGGTGCGGGGAGGCCCGTTTATAAACAGCCACCCACCCCTGCACTGCCACCGTCCGGCTGTTTATATACAACGGCCGGTCGGGAGGTGGTTAAAATTCATTTAAAGTGTATTTTTTCCCAAAAACTTACATTTGAAAAATTGCTGTGCAAATGCCGTGTAGCAAAAATTGCAATGACCGCTATTTTATTCTTTTGGGTGTCTGCTAAAAAATATATATGTAATGTTTGGGGGTTCTGAGTAATTTTTCTAACCAAAAAATGATGATTTTTACATGTAGCAGAGAAATGCCAGAATTGGTCTGGGTGAGAAGTTGTTAAACAACTTTCATGAAAATGGTGTGCTAGGCATGCACAAGAATGTTTTTTTTCTTTTCTGGGGTGGTATCCGTAGAGGGATTATGGGTAAAATATGGTATCAGATAAGCACATGAACAATGGGTTTTGTCTGTGAAGGTTCTTGTATATCCCAGGTCATGGTATATCTAGTAGTAGTTCCGCTGGACTTGTTGAAGACATTAAAAGTAGAATAAGGTTTGTTGGGTACTTCAGACACTTATTTCAGAACTATAGTGACATGTCTGTTCTTTATTCACTTTGGTATAAGCTCATGCTGACGCATTGCTTCTGACTATTTCTTGCCCACCAGGTTATCATTCGTAGCGGAGAACTGCTGTGTGGAGTCTTGGACAAAGCTCACTATGGCAGCTCGTCCTTTGGACTGGTTCATTGTTGCTATGAGCTGTATGGTGGAGAGACCAGTGGAAAACTGCTCACTTGCCTGGCTCGTCTCTTTACTGCTTACTTACAGCTTTACCGTGGATTTACCATGGGTGAGTAGAGTAATAAAATAAGCTTGAATAAGAAATGTTATAATAAGCAATCATGGCACACTTTGATTACTGTGCCAGAAAATAATCAACTCTACCTACCTGTACAAACTCTTTGCTTCCTATTACTCCACCCTTTATTTTTAAAAAGTTTGAAATTGCAGCCAATACCTTTTTAAAAATCATATATTCCTCTGTGTGTGTGCTCCCTGCTAAGGCTCCTCTGGACTGCTTTCCAGTTTGAGTACGAGCAGTGACCATGAATAACAGTCACATGCTGGCCCTTCCCTGTATTGTATTCTGACCATTCCCGTCTAGGTTCTGGCTTCACGACTTAGATCGTGGGAGGCACTGAGAAGTGCTGTGGACACTATGGGCAGTTTTATGTGTTTTAACGTGCTGGATGCTTGGGCACGTATAAATGCAGTCCATGCTGTGACCAAGCATAAGAGGATGGCTTGCCTGTTCCTTTCCCAAAGTAATGCTAAACTGATGACATCAACAAAAGCTCCAAGGCTAGATGTAGCCAGTGTAGCCCTAACCAAAGCCGGTTGGATTCTTCTGTTTTAAATATTAAATCCTGCCCATCCAATACTGGCAGGCTCCTGAGAAGTGGAGTGAGCACAGAGGTGACCTCATCTGTGCACAATTGCATTAACCAGTCAAATGGTGTGGTGGCTCTTGGGCCAGGCCCGTGCTGGGGTGGCTCTTGGGCCAGGCCCGTGCTGGGGTGGCTCTTGGGCCAGGCCCGTGCTGGGGTGGCTCTTGGGCCAGGCCCGTGCTGGGGTGGCTCTTGGGCCAGGCCCGTGCTGTGATGGCTCTTGGGCCAGGCCCGTGCTGGGGCGGCTCTTGGGTTGGCTCTTGGGCCAGGCCCGTGGTGGGGCGGCTCTTGGGTTGGCTCTTGGGCCTGGCCCGTGGTGGGGCGGCTCTTGGGTTGGCTCTTGGGCCTGGCCCGTGGTGGGGCGGCTCTTGGGTTGGCTCTTGGGCCTGGCCCGTGGTGGGGCGGCTCTTGGGTTGGCTCTTGGGCCTGGCCCGTGGTGGGGCGGCTCTTGGGTTGGCTCTTGGGCCGGGCCCGTGGTGGGGCGGCTCTTGGGTTGGCTCTTGGGCCGGGCCCGTGGTGGGGCGGCTCTTGGGTTGGCTCTTGGGCCGGGCCGTGGTGGGCGCGGCTCTTGGGTTGGCTCTTGGGCCGGGCCCGTGGTGGGGCGGCTCTTGGGTTGGCTCTTGGGCCGGGCCCGTGGTGGGGCGGCTCTTGGGTTGGCTCTTGGGCCGGGCCCGTGGTGGGGCGGCTCTTGGGTTGGCTCTTGGGCGGGCCTGTGGTGGGGCGGCTCTTGGGTTGGCTCTTGGGCCGGGCCCGTGGTGGGGCGGCTCTTGGGTTGGCTCTTGGGCCGGGCCCGTGGTGGGGCGGCTCTTGGGTTGGCTCTTGGGCCGGGCCCGTGGTGGGGCGGCTCTTGGGTTGGCTCTTGGGCCGGGCCCGTGGTGGGCGGCTCTTGGGTTGGCTCTTGGGCCGGGCCCGTGGTAGGGCGGCTCCTTGTTCAGCTGCATTGTAGTCTGTAATGTGTTCTCTGTGCAGACAGAACCTGGCAGGAAACATGGATAACAAAACCAGGCTGAACAGAATTAGAAATTCTTTTCTGTACTGTGTAAGAATTCTCACTTTTTGTTTAACTTTAGGTCTCCTTTTGCACATTAATGTTCATTGCGTTAAGGAAGGCTTTCTAATGCAATACCTGGCAATGCACTGCCGTGCAACAGAGGTTGGCTGCAGTGCCATTCAAAATGAATGTAAATAAGCCTCTTAAATGTATGTTACCAATGCTGTTTGCTTCCTTCACTGTTACTTTTTTGAAAATGTTCAGTGACTGATACAGTGATAATTTCTAGGAGTGGAGGACATTCTAGTTCGACCCTATGCTAATGGCAAGAGACAGAACATTGTGGGACGTTCTGCACATTGTGGTGGACGGGTAAGTAAGATGATATAGCTAATGTGTATTCCAATAGTCTGTTATAAATGATCTTTATTAACATCTGCAGAACCATTGAAAGGGTTTTGTTACACCTGTTTAGGTGCAAGAAAGAACTGGTTGAGCCAGCCAGAAACCCATTGATATCCTGTACACTCTGCATTTTTATTTCAAAGTTAACATGAAGTGAGTTAGGTTTTCATAACCTTCCCCCTGCATTATAGAGATTAGGAAAAAGTAGGTGGTATTCTGTAGTCCTAATGCTTCCTATCCCAGAGTGACAGTGCTGCTCCTCCATAAAAACAGTACAGTGTATGAAATGAATTGAGAGTGAAATGATGTTGCTGTTCTATCACATAAGTGGTGGTCAGTGGAAATAATGCCCCTTACATTGGTGGTCAACAGGAAGAATGCCCCTTACGTTGGCAGTCAGTGGGAAGAATTTCCCCTTACGTTGGCAGTAAGTGGGAAGAATTCCCCTTACGTTGGCAGTAAGTGGGAAGAATGCCCCTTATGTTGGCAGTCAGTGGGAAGAATTCCCCTTACGTTGACAGTCAATGGGAAGAATGCCCCTTATGTTGGCAGTCAGTGGGAAGAATGCCCCTTACGTTGACAGTCAATGGGAAGAATGCCCCTTATGTTGGCAGTCAGTGGGAAGAATGCCCCTTACATTGACAGTCAATGGGAAGAATGCCCCTTATGTTGGCAGTCAGTGGGAAGAATGCCCCTTACATTGGCAGTCGGTGGGAAGAATGCCCCTTGCGTTGGCAGTCGGTGGGAAGAATGCCCCTTGCGCTGGCAGTCGGTGGGAAGAATGCCCCTTGCGTTGGCAGTCTTGTGGCAAGAATGCCCCTTGCGTTGGCAGTCGGTGGCAAGAATGCCCCTTGCGTTGGCAGTCGGTGGCAAGAATGCCCCTTGCGTTGGCAGTCGGTGGGAAAAATGCCCATTGGCGTTGGCAGTCGGTGGGAAAAATGCCCATTGGCGTTGGCAGTCGGTGGGAAAAAATGCCCATTGGCGTTGGCAGTCGGTGGGAAAAATGCCCATTGGCGTTGGCAGTCAGTGGGAAAAATGCCCTTACGTTGGTGATCAAGTGGGAAGAAAATCTCTGGAGGAGCCCTGGTTGAGAGAGGCTGGGGTTGATAAATTTGACTCGTCATTCTGTATCTTGATCCCCTTGTTTTGACTATCCATTTATACCAATATTAGTATCATAAAACAAAAAAAATTAAATTAGATTAAATATCCAAATCAAACAGTGATAAATAACACAATGAAAAAATTAATTTAAATGACCAAAAAAATGTCTTAAGAATTTTCTCTTTCCATCAACAGTGAAGAATGTCCATCACCATAAGAACAGATTTGTGCAAATCCACCACCAACAGAAATTGCCAGTAAAAAGTTATAAACCAGCAATTGCACTTGTTTGCTCTGGGAGCAATACTCTGCAGGCAGACTCAGCGGTGACCAGCTTTTCAAATTCTTCTTCTCTCAGCTTGTTGATGTAATATATTGCAAGTCAGGGAGACTCAGATATCCAGACACTTATTTATCCTCTCTGGGAGCAATACTCTGCAGATCTCTAAACTCAGCAGCGAAAACTTCCAGACCGAATTCCAAGAACTTCGTACACAGGCTCAGAAAAGAAAAGAAAAAACAAAGCAAACGATCGTGTGATGCCGTACAACACGTTTATTTGTAAAAACTCATCATAATCCACTCTCATGGAACAGTGTCATAGCCGACACTAGCAACAAACACATTTTGCTAAAATCACAGAAAGCCGAGAAGCCAGCCTCTTACAGAACATAGTAACGTTAGTCCGAAGCTCCACCCTACGCGTTTCGTCATCAGACGTCTTCACGGAGTGGAAGGATGAAATGTGTTTGTTGCTAGTGTTGGCTATGACACTGTTCCATGTGAGTGGATTATGATGAGTTTTTACAAATAAACATGTCATACGGTATAACACGATCGTTTGCGTTGTTTTTTCTTTTCTTTTCTGAGCCTGTGTATGAAGCTCTTGGAATTCGATCTGGAAGTTTTCGCTGCTGAGTTTATAGATCTGCAGAGTATTGCTCCCAGAGAGGATAAATACGTGTCTGGGTATCTGAGTCTCCCTGACTTGCAATGTATTGTATCAATAAGCTGAGAGAGGAAGAATTTGAAAAGCTGGTCACAGCTGAGTCTGCCTGCAGAGTATTGCTCCCAGAGCAAACAAGTGCAATTGCTGGTTTATAATTTTACTGGCAATTTGCTCTGGTGAGTTTATTCATTTCTGTTGGTGGTGGATTTACACAAATCTGTTCTTATGGTGATGGACATTCTTCACTGTTGATGGAAATAGAAAATTCTTAAAAGGCATTTTTTTGGTCATTTAAATTATTTTTTTCACTGTTTTATCACTGTTTGATTTGGATATTTAATTTGATAGCGCTGCCTTATTTTGTTTTATGATTGTAACCTTTTATTTAAGGGTAAGGTTTAGCAGCTTATGTTAATCGATCACATGTGAACACTTTTGGCATGATTTCATTTATATTTTTTTCACCAATTTTAGTATGACTGACCAATATGACTTCTTTGTTCTGTAGGCTGTCAGAGCTGCCTTCAATCTCTCAGAGATGGCTTCAGATGAAGAAGCCAAAGAAAAGTGGCAGGATGCCCATTTAAACAAAGACCAGAGGGACTTCAACATGGTGGATTTGAAATTCAAGGAAGAAGTTAATCAGTTCAGCAATGAAATCAATAAGGTGAGTTTCTGAATAGGTGATTGGCAGTCTTGCACTGTATTTAGGCTTCTATAACTAGCCATACACACGAGGTGGTGGGCTGATGGTTCAGTCGTTCTGTTCTTCCTAACATTTTCAGCTAAATGTGCCTGTTTATGACAGTTATCTAGGCAATGATTTCATGGTTGTGGGCATGGGAAGCACTGCTGCTGTCTATGCATACACCCTTATGCTAACTCCTTTTTCCATCCCATCCTTTCTCTAGTGACTTAACCTTGTATACCTGACAAAGCCTTATGTATACATGTAATGGAGCATTTGCATCACTCTGAAAATGTTTTATCCTTTTAGGTGGTTGAACAATGCCTGCATATCCAACCAACTTATAAAATCCATATGTAGCCTAAGTGTTTGTAATAGGCCACACTGGTTATGTCCCCTGTAGATGTTTGGCGCTGATTTCCTTTGCTATGGTTCTTATATCTTCTAGGTGTGCATGCCGCTTGGTCTCCACAGGCGCTTCCCAGAGAATAATTTGCAGCTGATGGTTCAGTCTGGAGCCAAAGGATCAACAGTGAATACCATGCAGGTATCATTCCATGTCTTTAATTTAATATAACTCCAGCTGAAGCCATCCCTACTTTTCAATGAAGATTTGCTTTTTTCTAATTTAACCACTTCAGTACTACTAGTCTGTAACACCTCTTCATTATAGCTTGACAATTACTGTGTCATTATTAGTTATTTATTTTAGGGACTTATATAGAGCCGTCAATTTACGCAGCGCTTTACATATAGATTGTACATTCACATCAGTCCCTAACCCTCAAGGGGCGTACAATCTAAGGTCCCTAACTCACATTCATACATACACATACTAGGGACAATTTAGACAGGAGCCAATTAACCTACCAGCATGTCTTTGGAGTGTGGGAGGAAACCAGAGTACCTGGTGGAAACCCACACAAGCATAGGGAGAACATGCAAACTCCAGGCAGGTGGTTCCGTGGTTGGGATTTGAACCAGCGACCCTATGCAACACTGCAACAACAACCAAATTAATTTAATATGTTTTGACAGTTTCTTTAAAGCTTTCACCCAAAAGGCAATGTTCCCTTTTACATCCTGTTCCATATTTCTCCGATTTTTGAAGGGGGGGGAGGAGCAGGTACCTAGGACATGTCCCAGGACTGCAGGACCACTCACAGAGTACGGCACAGCTCATGCATGCGCAGTAGGTAGCCGGCTGTGAAGCCATAAGCAGCATAACTGGTTGCCCACAGTAAGGATGCTGGCACCAGGAACCCGTAGGCTAGTGAAGAACTAGTCTGGATGAGGACGGTTCTGGATCCCTGGACAAGTAAGCGCCCTTTTATTAACAATCTGCAGCTACCGTATTTGTAGCTTCTGACTTTTTATTTTTTCAGAGTGAAGAACCGCTGTAATAACGACTGGTTTTTTTTTTTTTTTTTTTTTTTTTTTTTTTTTTTTTTAGATTTAAACAATATAAAGGGAAGACCAACATTTTTTTAAATGAAACCCTATTTTACCTACTTTCTATTACAAAACTTTTAACAAAAAAGTGCCAGGACAGTGCACGGTCACGATTTTTGGGAAATTAAGAAATAAATGGTATTAGGATGGCTAAACATGGAGCTTTGGTGCAATAGGTGCATTCATATCATAGCATTCATTCAATAGATGCAGTCCAGGTCATACAGGGAGGAGGAAATGAAGTGGTTAATGTACAGATGTGCAGAATAAGGGACATGCGGGTATAACATACAGGTCACATTGGGACTGGATGTAGATCAAATGTACAGGAGAGTAGAGGAAAGGGTTCATAAAAAAAAGAAAATAATTCAACAATCAACTTCCACTCTAAATTGCTGCTGCCACTGGTCTGGAACTAATGAATAATTGATTCATTAGTTCCTCCTCCTTCTTCTTTCATCATTGTTTGCTAGAGGAAGGTACAGGCTTCAGATGTAAACACTACAATGTTTACATTAGTGTTTACTGTGATTGGTCATCAATTAGATCACATAGTACAGAGCTGCTCTGATCGGCTCTGTACACTGTGAACAGAGCCTTCTAGTGGCAGCTCAGTTCACAGCCATCAAAGGACACACTGGCTGCCCAAGGGCAAATTCTTTAGCGCTACCTCAGAGCTTCTGCAGAAATAAGCCATTCAAAAATGCTTGGCAGTGCAGACTTAAAGTTGCAGACTTAAAGTTTCTGGTCCTAGTAACATCATCATTTCTGGATGTCTGTTCTTCTCTGTGCAAGGCAGTAAGATCATGGCTGGTAGGAAGGGTCAGCAAAGAGCTGTACATTGGTTTCTGAAAACAAAGTTGTTGTAACTCCACATGTGTTGCAGAGCCTCCATGATTGAAAGCACTGCAGTCCAAAGAATAAAAGGGGCAAGATGGAAAGTAATGCAGGCCATAGATGGGTCGAAAATTGGCCAATTTTTCTTTAAAAAAAACGAAAAATCGGTCGTTCAAGCGGCCGACGTTACCAGCAACGGTAAAAAAAAAATCGGCCGATTTTCATCCCGTCTACAGCCGACAAAAAGTGTCCCTGCAGAGAGCTCCGCTATTTCTTTGACAGTTCCTTGACGTTTATAGCCGTTGCAACAATGTATTTGTATCCATTTAGGATACAGATGTTTTTATTCAGAAACAAATAGATACATTGTTGCAGCCGCTATAAATGTCAAGGAACTGTCAAAGAAATAGCGGAGCTCTCTGCAGGGACACTTTTTGCCGGACTGGAATTCCTCTTCTTCTTCTTCCTCTTCTTCTCTCTTCTTCTTCTTCTTCTTCTTCTCTTCTTCTTCTTCCTCTTCTTCTTCTTCTTCTTCTTCTTCTTTCCTCTTCTTCTTCTTCTCTTCTTCTTCTTTTCCTCTTCTTCTTCTTCTTCTTCCTCTTCTTCTTTCATCCTCTCTTCTTCTTCTTCATCCTCTTCTTCTCTTCTTCTTCTTCATCTCTTCATCCTCTTCTTCTTCTTCATCCTCTTCCTCTTCTTCTTCATCCTCTTCCTCTTCTCTTCTTCATCCTCTTCCTCTTCTTCTTCTTCATCTTCATCTTCCTTTTCTTCTTCTTCTTCTTCTTCTTCATCCTCCTCTTCTTCTTCTTCTTCATCCTCCTCTTCTTCATCCTCTTCTTCTCCATCCTCTTCTTCTTCATCCTCCTCTTCTTCATCCTCCTCTTCTTCATCCTCCTCTTCTTCATCCTCCTCTTCTTCATCCTCCTCTTCTTCATCCTCCTCTTCTTCTTCTTCCTCCTCTTCTTCTTCTTCATCCTCTTCTTCTTCTTCATCCTCTTCTTCTTCTTCATCCTCTTCTCCTTCAGCCTCTTCTTCTTCCTATTCTGCTTCTTCTTCCTCTTTTTTCCCCTTCTTCCTATTCTGCTTCTTCTTCCTCTTCTTTTTCCCCTTTCTTCTTCATCCTCTTCCTTCATCCTCTTCTTCCTATTCTTCTTCTTCCTCTTTTTCATCCTCCTCTTCATCCTCTTCTTCTTCTTCCTCTTCTTTTTCCCCTTCTTCTTCCTCTTCTTCATCCTCTTCTTCTTCCTATTCTTCTTCTTCCTCTTCTTCATCCTCTTCTTCTTCCTATTCTGCTTCTTCTTCTTCTTCTTCCTCTTCTTCTTCTTCCTCTTCTTCTTCTTCCTCTTCTTCTTCCTCTTCTTCTTCTTCCTCTTCTTCTTCCTCTTCTTCTTCTTCTTCCTTCTTCTTTCTTCTTCATCCTCTTCTTCTTCTTCATCCTCTTCTTCTTCTTCTTCATCCTCTTCTTTTTTTCTTCTTTTTGTCTTCCTCTTGCATGTCACTGCTCATGCGCAGATTTTTTTTATCGGCAAAATCGGCCGATTTTTTTTCCAAGTTTACCGATAAAAAAAATCTGCCAAAATACCGAAAAACGGCTGAAGAATTAGCCCACTAACGATCCGAAAATCGGCCAATTTTATTTTCGGCCGAAAAATCAGCCAATTTTCGACCCATCTATGGCCTGCATAAGGCTGGGGAGGAAAGTGCTATATGATGCTGCATGTTGTCTTCCCAATTAGGAAACTGAGAGGGATCTGTCTGTCTGGCGGCAGCTTCTAATACTACACCTTTTGTGTAACTGATTGCTTTGTGTATAGACAACATCTTAACCTGTGACTGTCCTGTTCTTTGCAGATTTCCTGTCTGCTGGGTCAGATTGAGTTGGAAGGCCGGCGACCACCATTGATGCCATCAGGGAAGTCTCTGCCTTGTTTCCAGCCATATGACTTTGCGCCACGCTCTGGCGGCTTTGTGACAGGTCGCTTTCTCACTGGCATCAAACCTCAAGTAATTTATTTAGTATTCTCTCACTTTGAATATATACAAAGAGCTGCATGTAACAAATGTTCTGTGATGGCAATAAGCATTTTTTTTTCAGCTTTAAAGTGCAAGTTAACCTTTAACAAAATTTTCCTCAAAGTCCCCTATGCCATTCCATATCTATAGCCTTTCAAACTGCATTGTGAGCGCAGTGCATGCTCTCCTCTAGCTAAGCTCAGCTAGGGAAGACGAGAGGGCACTGTGCGCACGCGCAGTTTGAGCAACCAAGAGTGCCTATTAGGGGTGCGAAATTCACTTGTCCAGCTGCCTTGCAGGATGAGCTGGATATAAGGGAAATCAAGGGGTCAGTGGTTTTTGTGGAGAGGCCCCCTGACAGTTGTATGTGTAATGGAAGAATCATTAAAACAGGAAGAGCGCTGTACTATACAGAGGATATAGGAATGCATAAGTGGATTTGGGGAAATTCCTGCTGAAGGTAAACCTGCGCTTTAAAGGTAAATGATAGTTTTTTAGGTTTTTTTTGTACATATTGTGAATATGGTCAGCTTAAAGTGTTACTAAACCCGCAACAGTACAATCAGTCTGTATATGCAGTAAAGCATGCTTGTTATACTCACTGTGGAACCTAAGGGGTTAATCCTCTGCATTGTGTAAAAAGGCTGTTTGATCCTTTATTCTCTGCCCCTCCTCTTGTTGAAATGACCACCTGATACAGACTGAACCACTGAACCTGTGGTCACATGCACATGCTCAATTTGGTGTGTATTGCTAGAGAGGGTTTTTTTTTTTTTTCTTGGGAGGGTGCATGTGACCAGCACAGGGCCAATCAGCACTGTCCTTTATTCTCTGACCCTCCTCTTGTTGAAATGACCACCTGATACAGACTGAACCTGTGGTCACATGCACATGCTCAGTTTGGTGTGTATTGCTAGAGAGGTTTTTTTTGTTTTTTTGGGAGGGTGCATGTGATCAGCACAGGGCCAATCAGCACTGTCCAGACAGAGGCTCAGGGATTTCACATCCCTCTGGATCAGAAAGAAATCTCCTCCTACAAGCTTTAACCATTGCTCTGCTGAAGTCACAAGACTGCTATATACTGCTGATGAGAAAAGGTATTTAGCAGTTTATATTTACTAAAATAATTGCGTTTCCATGTTGTGTGTATTGTGGGAGACCAGATATAGTGAATGCAGGGTCCGGGGTTTAGTATCACTTTAATGTACACTATATTAGGTGAAGAACTCTGCTTGCAACCTTATTGAACGTCTTTGGGATGAATTTTGTATGCGAATTGGAAGCAAGGTCTTCTCTTCCAACATCAGTGTCTGACCTCACAATTGCTCTTGTGGCTAATTGGGTACAAAGTTCCACAGACCCATCCATATTCTTATGGAGAGCCTTCCCAGAAGAGCGGAGATAGTTAAAGCTTCAAAGGGAGTGCCCACTCCATAATAATATGATATGGTCAGACAGTTACTTCAGTCCAGGAAGAATCAGTGAAAAAGGAGGATGCTCACCAGCACCCTCGTAATTCATTGATAACTACAAGCCGTTAGTTTCGAAGGCTTGTCGGTACTTGTAGTCTAATAATTCAGAGTCCTGTGAATGAGTGTCGCGGTCATGTGGGCAGAGCTCCACATGGCAGCGCTCTTTTTTAAATTGGGACTGCGGATGCAGGGAGAGGATCCCTGCTCTGCCGTCACAGGGAAGGTGGGAATGGGGGAAGATCTGCATGAGCTGGACCTTGTTACATGTAATATGTTCCTGAAGGTGAACTTATCCTTTAATAGAAAACCTTGCTGTAATATGGCCATGAAGCATCATGTTTTATAGGAATTAAAGGAAAAAAAAAAAGATTATACTTCAGATGACACCAGTTGAATTTCAGTTGCAAATGACAGACTTGTCCTAGATAATAAGTAGAGCCTTTTGAATAGGCTACGTTTACAGCTAAGCTTCACATTTTCAATAATTTTTTCAAGTGTTTGTTTTCAAATTTTTTGGAGCAGAATTGCATATTTTTGAGGCTTTTGTCATGTGTTTTTTCAGATGTTTAACTAAAAGGTGTGGAGTCCTGCTGAAAAAGGGGCAGACAGCTGCTGACTGAGCAGAAACCGCTAAAAAAAAGCTCATAACGCGCTCTTCAGGTGTTTCCATTGAAGTCCATGGGGACAAAAATGCTTACTTCTGCCTAAGGCTCTGTTCACATCTAGGAGTTTGTGTCCCAAATTGCTGTGCAAAATTGCACCAGGCTTGTTCAGGTGCCATTCAATTTCACGCGAGCAGGGGCGGACTGACCATTTGGAAACTCGGGCACTGCCCGAGGGCCCGGGGTCAGTAGGGGGCCCCATGAGATGCCCCTGGTACCTTTTTCATAGGCTTTTTTGAGTTTGGGCAAGGACACGGGCCCCATGATGTCCTATTGCCCGGGGGCCCCATGAGTTGTCAGTCCGCCCCTGCACGCGAATACCATTGTGACGTGTGATAAATTACGCTGCAATTATGGCAAACTGCATCGCTCGAAGCCTGCCGCTCGAAAAGGAGCAGGAGTTTGGGCAACAAGATTCACGTGATGCGGTGTACCGTGATTGCAGTGTGATTTATTGTGTGACAATCGCAGCAGAAATCCCACCCAGGTTTAGGTACTATTAAAAATGAATGAATGGTACCTGAACGAGTGTGATGCGATTTGTCAGAGATTCTGCCTACAATACAAAACACCTAGAGGTGAACCTGAAGGACACCAAGGAAGAATTTGCTTGTCTGTATTTAATTTAAAGACAATAGCATTGTACATGGGATCACAAAACATAACGGTAGAGTGACAAGTTCCAAGAATAAACACGGTTTTTATATGGTATCTGTTATTTTCTAGAAAAAGAGAGGAAGGCGCCTCTAAGTACAGTAGTGACAATTTATTTAGTAAACAATGGATAAATTGCACTTACAAGATAAACTGGTAAAAAGACTCATCTTGTGGTAATTAGATCCAGGTGGGACATCCAGCCGTCCAGCAGCAAACTATGTCTATAGGATCAGGAAGTAGAGTCCAGGATGTGCCTGTGTATCAAAAATGCAGCTTGGAGAGCAGTCAGAGGTCTGAAGAAGGAGCCTATTGAGCATGCTCCGAAATGCATTACCGCCCCCTTCACCTGCTACATCTGACTCTTCTCTCCAAGCTTCATTTTTGATGCACAGGCACATCCTGGACTCTACTTATTGATCCTATAGACATAGTTTGCTGCTGGACGGCTGGATGTCCCACCTGGATCTCATTACCACACGATGAGTCTTTTTAACCGGTAATCTTGTAAGTGCAATTTATCCATTGTTTACTAAATAAAAAAGAGAGAGGCGCCTTCCTCTCTTTTTCTTGTTACTGCATTAGAGCCTTGCTTCCCCTCTAAGAAGAGCTGCCTCAGTGTTACTACTCCAATCCATCCATCCCTGATATCCATCTGGCACCTTTATCTTACAGCTACAGAGGTTGGGCTCCAACAAGCGCGCCCTATATAATATACAGTTACTTATTTTCTACACTATTCTGTATCTCAGGCACATATCCAGTTAGAAGGGGGAATTGTAATTATCCAAGATAACATTCTAAGTGTCACCTAACAATGATAAATAACATTTCCATATTAAAGTCTTATATATCAGCCAAAAATCCATTAAAAATAACAAACGCATAATATAAAAGAAAAACTATAACCAAAGGTTCAGGGCCGAACATCCTTTCCTATCCATCTGCTTCTAACCACCATCCCACACATCTAGTACAATGGTTATAATTAGGAGCCTAAATTTATAGACATCCTCAACATCCTTTTTCCTACATTTTCTAGACCGAACTAAAAGCAGAAAGAACTCAGAACACAACAAGATGTAGAACATAGTTCACACTGAATTCACGCCAAGATAGCTTCCTGTGCACTCCATCTGTTTATGTTAATAACTCAATTCCATATTGTACCTCATCTTAACCACTTCCTGACCGGCCGTTGCATATAAACGGCCGGACGGTGGCAGTGCAGGGTCGGGTGGCTGTTTATAAACGGCCTCCCTGCACCCTGCTTGTGCGCGCTCCCTCGGAGCGCGCAGCACCGCGATCCGGTGCCCGCTGTGTCCTCCGGACACAGTGAAACACCGATTGTCGGACGGAACCTCTGTACGAGGTCCCGATCATGTGATCACTGATTAGCCAATCAGTGATCACATGCAAAGTAGTAAGCAAGATGTCACTCAGTACTTCTCAATGAGTGCAAGAATGCAGACAGAGAGAAAGAGAAATGATTGCGTGTAAAAGCAATGTGTAAAAAAAAAAATCTTCATCACCCCCCACAAGTAGTACAGTGTCACCATGGTGACACTGTACTGCTAGGATGACAGTATGTAAAAAAAAATAAAATAATAATAAAAAATAAAATAAAAATGTAAAAAAAAATGTTTAAAAATTATAATTTTTGGTTATAAACTAATTTGGATTTTTTTTTTTTTACTAAAAAGATAACGGAATACATTTTGGCAAAGATTTATGATGAATTATTATTTATTTGCAAAATTTTATGAAAAAAAAACACTTTTTTTCAAAATGTTTGGACTTTTTCATTTACATAGCAAAAAAAATAAAAATCCCAGCGGTGAATAAATACCACCAAAATAAAGCTTTATCTGTCTCAAAAAAATGGTATAAAATTCATTTGGGTACAGTGTTGCATGACCGCGCAATTGTCATTCAAAGTGTGATAGCGCTGAAAGCTGAAAATTGCCCTGGTCAGGAAGGGGGTGAAAGTGTCCGGTCTGGAAGTGGTTAAGAATAGGATTGTGTGTTCCATAAATTCAGTACACCTCCTAATAAAAGGCATTTCCTTGTTATGTGAACATGTCATCTTTTGCTTCATAAATAAAGATCATCTTTTATCCTAGGAATTCTTCTTTCATTGTATGGCTGGGAGGGAAGGCCTGGTGGACACTGCTGTGAAAACAAGTCGTTCTGGATACCTGCAGAGGTCAGTATCATTCTTCTAGTGTGTGGGCTATGTTAGCGTGCCTTTGCCTTTGACTCCATGTACAAACCTTTATGTGTATCTACAATACGTCAGCCCATACTCTGATTTAAAACCAAAAGCCTTGCTGTGAAGTTAGTTAATAAATACTGTATGTTTCTTCACTGTAACTAATCTTATCTTGTTCTTAAAGTGGGTGGGACATACTGGACAGCAAGTGAACATGTTGTCCATGAAGTTGATGTGTTGAAAGCATAAAAAAATGGGCAACACACTTTATGTATGGGGCTTCATAGCTGCAGACTGGCCAGGGTGCCCCATGCTGACCCTTGTCCACAGCCAAAAGTGCCTACAATGGGTACATCAGCATCAGAACTGGACCACGGAGCAATGGGAGAAGGTGGCCTGGTCTAATGAATCACATTTTCTTTTACATCATGTGGATGGCCGGGTGCGTGTGTGCTGCTTACCTGGGGAAGAGTTGGCACCAGAATGCAATGTGGGAAGAAGGCAACGCTTTGGGCAATGTTCTGCTGGGAAAGCTTGGGTCCTGCCATTCATGTGCATGTTACTTTGACATGTACCACCTACCTAAACATTGTTGCTAATCAAGTATCAAGTACACCCCTTCATGGCAAAGGCATGCCCTGATAGCAGCGTTCTCTTTCAGCAGGCTAATTCTCCCTGCCACACTGCAAAAAAAGTTCAAGAATAGTTTGAAGAACACAAGTTTGAGGTGTTCAGATGACCTACATATTCTCCAGGTCTCGGTTCAATCGAGCATATGTGGGATGTGATGAAAAAAGAAGTGTGTGTGTGTGTGTGTGTGTGTGTGTGTGTATATATATATATATATATATATATATATATATATATATATATATATATTATAATCTGTGTGTATATATTGCACACGATTGTAGGGGTATTGATCCGGCTGCAATCCATGAAAAAAATAGTACATAGAATATGCAGTAGGGCTGTGTCCAGTCGAGACGTTGACATTGTTTAAATTATGTTGTAATTCCTCCTGCTGTAAGTCCCATTGATGTATCTATAAGAAAATGTTGTCCCAGGAGATTGCATTCCCTTCTCAAGGTATTGTCTTTTGGAACAGAATGACAAAAGCCTTTTCTCTTGTGCAGGTGTGTTATTAAACATCTGGAAGGATTAGTGGTCCAGTATGATCTTACAGTACGTGACAGTGATGGCAGCGTGATTCAGTTTCTCTATGGAGAAGATGGGCTAGATGTCCCCAAGACACAGTTTCTACAGCCAAAGCAGTTCCCATTCATTGCTGAGAACTATGAGGTATGGCAAAGTTTTCTGTCAGAGGAACAATCTTTCCCAGATGCTTCCAAGTACCACTTGCATGATCAAAAGGAGGGTTAAAAATGAGTCCGTCCATGCATCTCAATATTACAATATTATTGTATGATGATTAAAAACATCACAAATGGTCATCAGGTTTACCAATCTACTTATGAGGACATACAGGGCCCCAAATTCGTGAATGCTGCCCCAACACGTTTCAACATTATTAGTCTTATTTGAAGAAGTTGAACAGGGAGGGGGGGGCCTGTATGTTCCCTTAAGTGGATTGATGAGCCTGAAGACTAGTACAGTATGTGATGTTGTACCATGTATGGTTTGATGTATTGTGACCTTTGGTCCCCACTTTTGATCATTGTACAATAAAAAAATGATGTATTTTTATTTTATAACTTTTTGTGGTGCCTAAAAAATCAAATTCATCATTCAGCTTTTGTTATAAAAAGGAGTGTTGAAAGACTGAAGGATATTGAAGGTCATTATTCTACCATTTTAAGGCCTCTATCATACAGCTGTCTAGAGCCGTACACTGCCCAGGTCAACAGAGCATGCACCTGTCCCTAACCACAGATATTCGGTCCATGTGCTCCCACGCTTGAATAACTGTGGAGCAAACCTCAATGCTCTAAGGTGGGAATCTGCAGTGTATGTGTGTGTATGTATATATGTGTATGTGTGTGTGTATATATATATATATATATATATATATATAAACAAGCTTTGGGAAGTATGTAATCAAAAAGGGTATATCTATGACAAGGGAACCTCTAGAGTTTGGTTTTTATTTTAGTGTAGCCTTGTGAGAGAGGTTTTAGGCCAATCACACAAGCAGGAAATAAAATTCCTGGGAACAGGAATATAATACCATATGGAACGCAACCAAGTTTCAGAAAATTGCAGCAACTATAAATAGAAATAGTGGAGTTTTTTCTTTTTTTTCTCAGTTCTTTTCTAGGGCCCTTTTTTTTGAGTGGCTGACCTGCATCTGTAGGCAGAATAATAAAATTTTAAAAAATGTCCATCTTTCAGGCCCGATTGGATCCTCCACTGTAATTTTTTTATTTTCAGCGAAGTGCTGCATGAAGGGTACCAAAGTAAATCCCTTTTTGCTGGCAGCACATACCAGAGTCAGACTGGAGCTCTCACACACAAGCAGTGTCCTGGCAGTCCAATACTGCTTTAATTGCTCTCACTGCTTGGGCAGTGCTGCTTATATTAGAGTAGTGTTTGTGGGGTGGTGTAAAAAAAAAAACTAGATTGCTTGTGTGTGAGAGCAGCAGTCCAATTCTCCTGGTGCTGCCAGCAGGGGTTTTTAACCTTTGCTGCCGCACTTGACTAATAAAGTAAAAGAGAGGCATATTCTTTGCTTTATATGAAGCATGAGTGCATTACGGTGTCAAAATAAGAATGTTCATTTGGGCTTTCAGTTGTTTTTTAACCCATTTCCACCCCTTCACCGTTTTATGCGTCAAGAAGACTGGAAAACATTCATATGACATGGTAGGTTGACATGAGTTAAAAACTGAATTGAAAGGGGACCGGCATATTTCATCTGCTTACCCCTTGAATGCAATGTTAAAGCCTGTAAAGCAGTGGCATCTTAAGGTGCCTTTCACATGAAGGATCCAATCAGGTCCACCTGTCAGTTGTTTATGCAATCCTGATTGGACAGTCCATCCACCCCTATGGACCAGCAGGTGTAAACGGACTTGTGTCCATTTACACCTGTCTACCTCCAATCTGGTCTGGTGTGTTAAAAATAAAAAAAATGGAAAGGGATCTGTCCCCCTTTGTCTAGGTGGATTGGAAGGCAGTCGGGTGTAAATGGACAGGTGGGGTCTGAATCTGTAGTTTCTGCTGTTTTTAAACAGATAAAATATTTGAAAGTGAAGTGAAAGACAACTTTCCACTTTTTACCATAGTAAATCTCCCATTTAGCAAGGCTTTCTGATGTGTCAGGGAGAGGGAGCATGATGACCTTTTATTCTTGTACAAAAGTAATACAGGGAGGGCATTAAATCTAAATGTCAGACCTTGGCTCTACTTACTGCTGAACATAATCAATACTTTGTGATCATTTGTTATGTTTCCGCCGTAATCATGTGTAAGATGCACGCCTTTGGGGTCGATGTCATGTTAATAATTAATGCCATGTTCATGTGTGTCTTTATCTCCAGTTATGTTATCTCTATGGTGTTACTGATCCGGGGGGGGGGGGGGTTGTTTCACACAGAGTGACTAAAAATCAATGTGAATTCTAACAACTTTCAAGTCCTAGGCAGTGCCAGGACACGGTTCATTGACACCCAAGGCAATCATGCCAAAGTACACACACACAAACACACCTTAGCTAAGACACAGCTTACATATCAGTACTTGTAGTACAGGGCACAAACATGACATCCTCTGGCCCCAGGATTACGTGCATTTGGTCCATGGAAACCAAATGGGTGTGGTGGGTGGTGGGTGTGTTGCAATGTGGTTAAATAAATAGTTTATCTTCTCAAAAGTGCAAATTTTATTTTGTCTTTTTTTTTGTTTTTTTTTTTAATATATAAAGGAAGTGCAAGGAATTTCATAATGCACTTACTAGAACGAATGAAAGCATATTTTAAGGGCATAGTCACATGACCATAACAAATGGACCTATGTGCAGTGTGCCTAGCTGATTTTCATTTTGAATGGTACCCCCAACTCTGATAACTCACCTCAGTTTGTAGATGTAAACATTGCGGGGCACTGCAATGGAGGAAAAGGTGCACATGGTTGACAAACCATTCCAAATAAATTGGGCGGCTTAACATGTTGCTGCATCTTATTGTTATTTCCAGGCTTTAGTACCAATTTTAAGAAAAGCTAACAGTTTGTATAGCAATGCCTGCTCTTACATTTACTACATGGCCCCACCTGTCTTGTATGGGGCTGGAATGCTAAGAACAAAAAAAAAGTACTTCTGAATGTGGGATTTCGCATAAATACTGCCTACTGTCTTCCGCAATGTAGTGTATGTAGGATGCATCATTAGGCCTGAGCTCTCTGACAAGTAAAGTGTTTGAAATGAAAGATATTAAAGCGGAGTTCCACCCAAAAGTGGAAGCTCCACTTGTTTTCCTCTTTCCTCCTCCACTGCCATATTTGGCACCTTTTGGTGGGGAGGAGGGAGCGGGTACCTGGTTTTGACAAGTACCCACTCTCACTTCCGGCTAGTTCGCTGCAGCAAAGTGAGCCAGACGTTCAGCCCCCTCCTTTCTCCCACAGTCTCCTGGGAACCTTCACAGGTCCCAGAAGACTGCCGGACCAATCAGGAGGCACAGCATGACTTGCTCATTGTGCACCCGGCGTGAAGCCGAAAGCTGCCACAACCTGGTGCCCACAGTTGAGATTCCGGCGCTGTGGAGAAAAGGGATGGTGCAGGTGAGAACATTGCTGGAACCTGGGACAGGTAAGTGTGTGTTTATTAAAAGTCAGCAGCTACAGTTTTTGTAGTTGCTGACTTTTAATAAACACAAAAATGGCTGGAACTCCGCTTTAACAAAGATTAGTTCAATCACCTATGTATGGTTTATTTAATTAAGCATTGGATCACAGAGCTGGATAATGGCAGTGCGAGTTGTTTAATACAGGTGTTTGTATAGTGCCAACCATATACGCAGCACTTTTACATCTTGTGCATTCACATCAGTCTCTACATTCAAGGCGCCTACAATTTACTCCATGCAGGTAATGTCCTGGTTGGGCGTCGAGCTGAGGACCCAAGTGCTGCAAGGTATGTATAGTCCTTGGTATATTAGCCAAACATGGTTTAAGTCAGAGGTGGGCAATACATTTTCCAAAGGGGGCCACATGAGAAACTGGGACTGCTGTGGAGGGCTGAAGCAAAGTTTTAGTGCGTAGAAATTTTTTTTTATGATTTATACTACAGTAGCAGCCTTAGGTGAACAACACTGGAATGGGAAGGTCTGTATGTCGTAAACATATAGAAAACCAGTACCTGGCACTAGGAATAATAGGTACAACTGCTCATACAATAGTGTGCACACTCACAATTCTGAAAAGTAGTAGTGAAGAAATGTCCTCTACTGAAAAGTAGTGGTGAAGAAATGTCCTCTACTGAAAAGTAGTGGTGAAGAAATGTCCTCTACTGAAAAGTAGTGGTGAAGAAATGTCCTCTGCTGAAAAGCAGTGGTGAAGAAATGCCTCTGCTGAAAAGTAGTGGTGCAGAAATGTCCTCTGCTGAAAAGCAGTGGTGCAGAAATGTCCTCTGCTGAAAAGTAGTGGTGAAGAAATGTCCTCTGCTGAAAAGTAGTGGTGAAGAAATGTCCTCTGCTGAAAAGTAGTGGTGAAGAAATGTCCTCTGCTGAAAAGTAGTGGTGAAGAAATGTCCTCTGCTGAATAGTAGTGGTGAAGAAATGTCCTCTGCTGAATAGTAGTGGTGAAGAAATGTCCTCTGCTGAAAAGTAGTGGTGAAGAAATGTCCTCTGCTGAAAAGTAGTGGTGAAGAAATGTCCTCTGCTGATCTGCTGGTTACAATATTGGTGGACAGCAGGCTGGTAAATGCAGTGAGGAAGCTGACCGACTCAAAGAAGCATGTTAAAAGGGCAGGCATTGCTGGCCGAATGTGGCCCAGGGTCCGCAGTTTGCCCAGGTTGGGGTAAAACCAACCTAATAATGATTATAAAGCATCACTAACATCCTTTCCCATCTATCCCATAAAAGACAGAACATAGGTGAACCCTAAAAGTACTATAGGCCAGAACAATTTTTCTTTTTCTGGCTTCATTTTTTTCTTATCAGTAACATAAGAGATGTGTTTAGCCCTATGCAGATACGGAATTTAGAGAAGATTTTTGGCAGACCTGGAGCAGTAATCATGTGCTTACTAATACAGATTCTATGTTGGTTTGACGTGTGGGCAAAGCACAGGTTTACATTAGAGAATAACCTTGCTTATTCTTTAATGAACACCAACCTTCCCGTCGGTTGTCTTTCAGTAGAAGAGCAGAATTTAGATTCAGATTAAAAAAAATATACTCCTACTCTTGTGGCCCACCCAAGGCTGGCATGGTTTAGGCCTTCTCCAAGGCGTCTAATGGTAGTCCATGCTGCAGGCTTTGGCTCAGTGATTTGCCATAAATTCTGGCTTTAAATATGGAAGTGAAGCAAGAGTGAAGATCACAGCCATGGAGCTTGCTCTTTAAAAAGCAAGTAGGCAGCTGCAGCTCCCATACTTCATCTTGACAGGTCTCCTTTATGAAATCATCTGTGAGATACAAAATGAGTTAAAGTGTTACTAAACCCACAACAGTAAAATCTGTCTGTATCTGCAGTAAAGCATGCTTGTTATATACTGATTGTGGAACCTAAGGGGTTAATCCTCATTTTGGAAAAAGGCTGTTTGATCATGTCTTCGCTGATCCTCCCCTTCCTCTACTGTCCCCAATCTATCTGTTGATAGTACAGAGCTCTAGGAGTCACATGCTCTGGTGTGTATTGCTAGAGTTTTTTTTTTCTTCTTTGGGAAGGGTGCATATAATCTGCACAGGCCAATAAACGCTGTCTAGACAGAGGGTCAGGGGTCAAGCAGCCTCATAGGAAAGTCAGAGGAGAATGAAAACTCCTCCTACAAGCTTTAACAAGTGCTCAGCAGGACACTGATAGAAGTCACAAGACTGCTCCAACTGCTGATGAGAAAAGGTATTTAGCAGTTTATATTTACTAAAATAATTGCATTTCCATGTTGTGTGTACTGTGGGAGACCAGATATAGTGGATGCAGGGTCTGGGGAGACCAGATATAGTGGATGCAGGGTCTGGGGAGACCAGATATAGTGAATGCAGGGTCCGGGGAGACCAGATATAGTGAATGCAGGGTCCGGGGAGACCAGATATAGTGGATGCAGGGTCTGGGGAGACCAGATATAGTGAATGCAGGGTCCTGGGAGACCAGATATAGTGGATGCAGGGTCTGGGGAGACCGGATATAGTGGATGCAGGGTCCGGGGAGACCAGATATAGTGAATGCAGGGTCTGGGGAGACCAGATATAGTGGATGCAGGGTCCGGGGAGACCAGATATAGTGGATGCAGGGTCCGGGGAGACCAGATATAGTGGATGCAGGGTCCGGGGAGACCAGATATAGTGGATGCAGGGTCCGGGGAGACCAGATATAGTGGATGCAGGGTCCGGGGAGACCAGATATAGTGGATGCAGGGTCCGGGGAGACCGGATATAGTGAATGCAGGGTCTGGGGAGACCAGATACAGTGGATGTAGGGTCCTGGGTTTAGTAACACTTTAATAAATAATTTTGTCTACAGAAAAAGACCAGTTCAGACATTTACTAGTCGATTTTAGGGTCCATTCATGGGGTACTTTACTGCCTCATGCAGGTCTGTGTTTTCCCGGCATGGGGATGTGGCACAAGTGTTTCATGCATCCCCATGCTGGCAGTCCATAAAAGTCAGTTGGGACATGCGGCTTTATAGACGGAGCTGCTGTGTCCCAATATGACATGCATTTGCCTGTGGGTGCAGGTCCCTGAACACACACAGGATCAGTGCAAGGACCCGCCCCCGTCCCTGCATGTCACATTGAGCCACAACAGCTCTTTCCGTGCAGCCGTGTGTCCCAGTAAACTTCTGTGGACTGCCGGCATGGGGATGCACATGTGTCCCCCTGTGTCCAGGAAACATTGATCTGAATGAGACGCGCAGTCAAGCGCTCTGTGTGGATGAACCCTTAACCTTTCCTCACCCAGTACAATGAATGACTTTTGAAGAAGGAGAATAATTGGTAAACTCATCTTAGCACAGTTGAAATCTATAGGAGTTTAGGGAATGGTAAGTATGCATTCGCTGGGGGTGTGTGATTGGTTTGGGTTGCCATAGACATGTAATCTATAGAAAAGCACTTTATGTAGTATGTGCCATACGGTGTACATTGATAGAGGCAATGCATTGACTAGCTGAGGCCAAAGTCTGTTCCAGTTGGAGATTACAATGTTTGCTATATTAACGTGACCAATGTAGAAGTCTTTGCCCTGCAACTTTTGAAGCCAGGTACAGTGGGGCAAAAAAGTATTTAGTCAGCCACCAATTGTGCAAGTTCTCCCACTTACAAAGATGGGAGAGGCCTGTAATTGGCATCATAGGTAGACCTCAACTATGAGAGACAAAATGAGAAAAAAAATCCAGACAATCACATTGGCTGATTTGGAAAGAATTTATTTGCAAATTATGGTGGAAAATAGGTATTTGGTCAATATCAAAAGTTCATCTCAATACTTATATATCCTTTGTTGGCAATGACAGAGGTCAAACGTTTCCTGTAAGTCTTCACAAGGTTGGCACACACTGTTGCTGGTATGTTGGCCCATTCCTCCATGCAGATCTCCTCTAGAGCAGTGATGTTTTGGGGCTGTCGCTGGGCAACACGGACTTTCAACTCCCTCCAAAGGTTTTCTATGGGGTTGAGATCTGGAGACTGGCTAGGCCACTCCAGGACCTTGAAATGCTTCTTACGAAGCCACTCCTTCGTTGCCCGGGCGGTATGTTTGGGATCATTGTCATGTTGGAAGACCAAGCCATGTTTCATCTTCAATGCCCTTGCTGATGGAAGGAGGTTTGCACTCAAAATCTCATGATACATGGCCCCATTCATTCTGTCCTGTACATGGATCAGTCGTGCTGGTCCCTTTGCGGAGAAACAGCCCCAAAGCATGATGTTGCCACCCCCAAGCTTCACAGTAGGTATGGTGTGCTTTGGATGCAACTCAGCATTCTATCTCCTCCAAACACGACGAGTTGTGTTTCTACCAAACAGTTCTATTTTGTTTTCATCTGACCATATGACATTCTCCCAATCCTCTTCTGGATCATCCAAATGCTCTCTAGCAAACTTCAGACGGGCCCGGACATGTACTGGCTTAAGCAGGGGGACACGTCTGGTACTGCAGGATCTGAGTCCCTGGCGGCGTAGTGTGTTGCTGATGGTAGCCTTTGTTACATTGGTCCCAGCTCTCTGCAGGTCATTCACTAGGTCCCCCCGTGTGGTCCTGCGATTTTTGCTCACCGTTCTTGTGATCATTTTGACCCCACGGGGTGAGATCTTGCGTGGAGCCCCAGATCGAGGGAGATTATCAGTGGTCTTGTATGTCTTCCATTTTCTAATTATTGCTCCCACAGTTGATTTGTTCACACCAAGCTGCTTGCCTATTGCAGATTCAGTCTTCCCAGCCTGGTGCAGGTCTACAATTTTGTTTTTGGTGTCCTTCGACAGCTCTTTGGTCTTCACCATAGTGGAGTTTGGAGTGTGACTGTTTGAGGTTGTGGACAGGTGTCTTTTATACTGATAACAAGTTCAAACAGGTGCCATTGATACAGGTAATGAGTGCAAGACAGAGGAGCCTCTTAAAGAAGAAGGTACAGGTCTGTGAGAGCCAGAAATCTTGCTTGTTTGTAGGTGACCAAATACTTATTTTCCACCATAATTTGCAAATAAATTCTTTCCAAATCAGCCAATGTGATTGTCTGGATTTGTTTTCTCATTTTGTCTCTCATAGTTGAGGTCTACCTATGATGCCAATTACAGGCCTCTCTCATCTTTGTAAGTGGGAGAACTTGCACAATTGGTGGCTGACTAAATACTTTTTTGCCCCACTGTATAGATTTTCTTCTGAATGCCATGCGGGACTTGAATATAGCAAGGCTTAAAAGTGCATAAATGAATTGAAATGATACAAGTCCACATTCATATCTTAAATAATTAAAAGTCCCAAAATCCAATAACACAGTGCTGTGTGCTAAAGAAATCCTCCAACGTGAAGTGCATAGGTGTCCACAAATGCTTGACACAAAAGAAAAAAATCAGCCTTTTACCAGAGACTTTGATCTCCAATAAAGAGATCAAATGAGCAGATGATGTTGAGATCCCACACTGTCACCCTAGTTAGCCGTATCAAGGAGACGAATAAAAGATGAATGGACAACTGCAGGTTCACTTGAACAAATCCATCACATCAGACAGCTCTGCACATCATGTTTCTGTTTAAAACAGAAGAAGAAAACCTCACAGTGCAACCTGATAAACCAGCAAAGAATTTATTAAAGCGTTGCACTTGCATAGATAAGGTGCATAAAGGACGTGTAAACATTCAAAATTCCCGCAGTGTCAGACCACCAGCTGGAACGAGGTGACGTCACAGAAAGCTCCACCCGACGCTCGTTTCTCTGAAAATGGCGTCCTCTGGGAAAACAGACCCGTGGTCTCACACCGCTGGAATTGATTCATTTATGCACATGTTTTATATAGCCACATTCATTTGATTGATATTGTTCATGATTATTTAGTGTACAGTACACTCCTTTTTTAATATGTTTTGTATTTTCTAGTGTTCAGGGAAAGAGTAGCAGCAGTTCACTAATTGTTTCACTATTGTTTCAGAGTATATATATTTTTTTCACACATTTATTCACATATTGTATTGTCTGGGGTGCAGCACAGGTTTTTTCCGTTCCCGTTTTCTATATAGCAAGGCTTTGCCAGCGTGGCCTTGAGCAATTCAGAGCTTTATTGCCCTTTACTAACAATTAATTCCGGAAATTCCACTTTTTGCTAAATGTTTCAAAAAGCATGTGACTATTGTCTTGAAATAATATGAATTCTTCTCTTGTGCTGGTCATGTGACTAGTGCCCCGGTGTTGGTCTTGTGGTCTCTGCTGAATGATTAGCTGTGCCTGAATGTCACCCAAAGCCACTTCAGCAGAGATCAAACAAGCAGCATAAGTCATGTGATTGGCAACAGCGGTGAGAAGAATTTCCGAAATTCCCGAAGAAAGGAATTTCCTATCTTTCTGTTTATTTAGAAATTTTGTTCATGATAATGATTTCTATGCTACAAGCCAGTCGAGATTGTTTAATGCTTCTGTTTAGGTAATAAAACTACATTTTAACTAAAAAGTTACATGATGAAAGTTTCTAATAAAACAAAACCAATGCCTTTTTAAAAATTGCATTTTGTTTCTGACTTCAGATAAACTGTGAGGTTCATTATCAATTATTATAAATACAGTATAATAATAATAATTATCAGGGATGAATTCTCAGAATGTAGGATTGTCTCTAGAAGGCAGAAAGAAATGGTAGCTATGATGAACAGCCCCATCCATGAACCGATAATAAAATATGTACTGTTTATGTAGCTTTATTAGCCTATAGATATGTATTTCTTAGGGTCACACATCCTGAACTGTCCCTATCATAATGTAAAGCGCTGAGCAAACTGTTGGCGCTATTTAAGTCCTGTATAATAATAATAATAATATCTTCGAATGAACAGCCCTTCTATGGACCAAAATCCTTTTTTTTTTTTTTTTCTTTTTTTTTTTTTTTTCCTCTTTAGTCCACAAATTTTTTTTTTTTTTTTTTAGGTCTTGCATAAAAAATGTTATCGGTCATTTTAGTTAGTTGCTAAAATGAATCTGAGAGCTTTTTGCCTTCTGTACCTTTTTTCTTTGTACCTGCTCTACACGTTGATAGGCTGCAGGAGGCATGGAGATACAAAATATTTTCCAGGGTGGTGGCCCCCCAGTTTGGTGATGTTCTAGTGGTCCAAAGACCAGACTGAATGTGGAGCAGTGAGGCAGAGTAGTCCAAAGAGAGCTCTGAAGGTGATTCAGTAGCCACAGTAGTCCAAATACCAGGATGAAGGTGGTGGAGCAGTGACACCCAATATTTGGATTCCAAATATTGCCGCTATGTAGCCTAGCAGGGATGGGGTAATTTACAAGTGCTTTACAATTCAATTAGAAGACAAAAACCTTTATTGTACTTGTTTCAACTCATTTTTTTGGAGATGCCCATTACGTGTGTGTGTGTGTGTGTGTATTGGGTGTTTTACTCCCATATTGGCTGTTCTCTAAAAATGTAGAAGATGTCTTAATGTATTCATGGTGTAGCTGTGATTTTTTTTGGGGGGGGGGGGGTGTCCAACCTTTTGACTTTCCTGGGCCACATTGAAAGAAGAGGAATTGTCGTGGGCCACATATGAAATACACTTACAATAAGGATAGCTGATGAGCATACAAAGTCGGTCAGATCACAAGTTAACAACCAATTATGGGTACCTATCTGAGTAAGAAAAGTTTGTAATTTTTTTTTATTATAAAAGTAGACGCGAGCATCGTAAAACAAGTGCGATATTTGACTTTTGATAAACTAATGCATCAATAGCTGGTTCCATAGTAGCAATTCTCAATGAAATATTTAAGGTGCTCATCAGGTATTTTGGTTCTAATTTTGCCCTTCGTGTGCTTCATCCTTGAAAATAGTTGCTCACAAATATAGGTGCTTCTGAAAACTGATGCCATGAATAAGGCGTGATTGTGACAACTGGGAGATGTTTCTTTGAGAGGATAAAACCTATAAAAGTCCAGTTAAGAGACACTGTCACATTTTTCTTTGTTCGCCTGTGTTAAGGAATTTTTACAAAAAAAAATTTTTTTTTTTTAAATCAACATTTTTTAAGTAAGTTTATGATTTTTTGTTGGGCTGCATTCATAGCCGTCTTGGGCCGCGGGTTGGACAAGTTTGATCTAAATGATGGCTATGAATACTAAAAGAAAAAGTATGCTTTCCTGCCATACTTGTATTTCATTATGATATTAGTCTAGGCACAGATCTCAGGCTTGGTACTGTTAATAAAGTAAACATTTCCTGACCTAACGGAGAGCTTCCATTGCTGGCATTCCTCTATAATTACCAGTTATTTGGCTTTTATGCTGTCAAGCCTTCGTGTTAAACCACAACAGTAAAATCAGTCTGTATATGCAGTAAAGCATGCTTGTTATACTCACTGTGGAACCTAACTGGCTAATCTTCTGCGTTATGTAAAAAGGCTGTTTGATCCGGTCTTCTCTGATCCTCCCCTTCTTCCACAGTTCCCAATCCATCTGCTGATAGGACAGAGGCCTAGGAGGCACTCTGCACATGCTCAGTTTGATGTGTATTGTAGTGCATGTGATCGGCACAGGGCTAATCAGCGCTGTCCAGACAGAGGGTCAGAGGTCATGCAGCCTCAGAGGAGAATGAAAACTCCTCTTGCAAGATTAATGCTCAACCAGACACTGATAGAAGGCACAAGTCTGCTATATACTTCTGATGAGAATAGGTATTTAGTTGTTTATATTTACTAAAATAATTGCATTTCCATGATTTATGTAGTGTGGGAGACAAGATATATATAGTGAATGCAGGGTTCTGGGTTCAGGGACACTTTAAATTTCTTAAACCACTAAACCAAAACAGGTGTACAGAGCAGAAGTCCTCCTTAACATACTTGTAATAAAGCCAGGGAGCTAGGCAATAAGCATTTGCCAGATGGAATGACAGCAGGGGCGGACTGACCATTCGAGCATTCGGGCTCTGCCCGAGGGCCCGGGGCCAGTAGAGGGCCCCATGAGATGCCCCTGGTACCTTTTTTATAGGCTTTTTTAGGTGTGGTTTGAGTGTGGGCAAGGACACAGGGGCCCCATGATCCCTTATTGCCCAGGGGCCCCGTGAGTTGTCAGTCCACCCCTGAATGACAGCCTGCATGTTTCTCTAGGTAGGGGTTTCTTTTTGAACTCGCCATTTTATTAAACTTGGTGTATGTGCTATGAGTAAATAAGATAGATAGTGATTCACTGTGCAGTCCCAGAGCCCAGATACACTGGTGTTTATCCCACAGCAAACCCTCCAAGACCTGCAGTCAGCTTCTGTACATTCGGAAAATTCTCAGTCGCTTTTCCGGAGCTGGCAGCCTGATGCATGTTCAGAAGGCATATCGCATTGGGACTGGCAGTCTTGATCTGAATCTGGAAAACACACTTGCTAACATTTTGAACATTTTTTTTTCCTTCCATGGCTTGCAGTTTGGTACATCTGGATAGTTCAGTTAACGAACTCTCATGGCAACCCTGAGGCTGGGGTTGTGTGACTATGGGGGTTATTTACTAAACCTGGAGAGTGCAAAATCAGGTGCAGCTGTGCATAGAAACCAATCAGCTTCCAGGTTTTAGCGCTTGTTCACACTTGACTTTTTTTCCAACTCTTGCCAAACGCCCCTATAGCGTTTGACAGGCGTTGGTCCGGCGTTTGTGAAGTGTTTTTAACGCTCCGCAAACGCTCCAAAAACGCTGTATGCACGGTTTAGCGGCGGTTCGTAGGCGTTTGCCAAGCGTTAAAAACGACCCACAAACGCCTATAATGAAGTTTGAATGGTGTTAACGCTCCGCAAACGCTGGCCAGGCGTTTGCGGAGCAGCACCATAGACTTGAATAGGAAGCTTCAACTCCTCCTGACTCGACCAGAGGTGTCCGTTTTGCCGCGACGCAACTCTAACGCTTCTGTGTGAACAGCACTATGTGCTGCAATGTGCAGAATTTTCAGAGGCGTTTGGAAAGCGGGTAAAAACGCTTCCCAAACGCCTGTCTGCTGACAACGCTAGTGTGAACGTAGCCTTATTGTCAAAGCTTAATTGTACAAGCTGAAGTTAGAAGCTGATTGGTTGCCATGCACCGCTGCACCAGATTAAGTGCTCCAGTTGTAGCAAATCTCCCCCTCTAGCTTTGCCATAAGGGAAAAAAAAAATTAGTTAAAGCAATTTAAAAACGTATAAGCGTTTTCTGCTTTGTAGTGTATTTTATTTTTTTTTCTATTTAATTTTTTTTAATGAATCTCCTATCATGACTGAGATGTGTTTTGATAAAATTGTGAGCATTCTTCCTGATTACATGAACCTGTCCTACCTCTGAAGTATTAGAAATCTAAGGCTCCATGTACACGGGACACTTCTGAACGATAGAAACTGACTGCTGGAAAACGTAGGTTAAAAAACTTCTGTTTAGCCGCGTTTGCATACCGCGTTTATGTGCATTTGCGTTTTAGAAGGGTTTTTTAAAGATAAGTACAGGAGAATCTCCCAAATGCCCAGAATGCACTGAAAAGTGGTAAATTATTAACTATTTCAGACTGTTTCAGAGAAATAAAGAGAGAGTAGAAGCAGAGGCAGCAGTATGTGTTGAGATTAGCTAGGTGTGCGTTGCTCATTAACATTTCTTTTGTTTCCAAGGGTGGGAAAGGTGTCTGGTGAAGGGAGTCATTAAGGCCACCTGGCAGGGGGTCTTCATGAGGAATTTGAGGTGTGAATGGTCATTAACAAATCTTTTGTTTCCAAGGGTGGGAGAGGTCTGAGGTGTGAATTGTTCATTACAATGTGTGACATGCTTGGTAGGAACATCCTGTGTTCAGTGTTTTGTCCATCTGAGTACCTTGAAAATGCTTTGCATGCATTTTTCATGATGAAAAAAAGTTCTGGCCAGCATCAGGAACTGGAAGAGTTAAAAAAAATAAAAAATTCAAGCGCTTATTAAACGCGATTAGCCGCGTTTACAGCGTTTTGGGTTTGAAACGCTGATAAAATCGACTGCTGAACGCAGAAAACTTTTTTTTTTTTTTCTGCGTTCAAAAAAAACGACTGTAAACTCAACTGCCTGTAAACGACTGTAAATGAAGATGTGTACATGGCCACATAGGAAAACATTAGGGTGAGTTCAGGGGCTGCTGAAAAAAGCGCTGAACAGCTCCTAAACGTCAGTTTATCAGCTGCAGTGTACATGAGCCCCAACATTCACTTCTTATGCCCTGTCTGTGGATTTTCATGGCAGTACCGCACTATACAATATAAGGAAGCATGGCTTGTTTAGAGGATAATGACACCAAGCAGCAGCCTTTTTTATGTGGACTTGAGATCCTTGAAGTCTTTTTTTTCTTTTTTTTTCTCTTCTTCAGGTTATAAAACAGTCCAAGAGTTTGGATGAGGTCTTGTCAAGGATGGACTCTGAGCAAGCTGGCCAACAAAGCCACTCCATCAGGAAATGGAAAGTCAAGCACCCTGCACCATATCAGAGGCTGGGAGCTTTCTTGTTGTACTCCCAGAAGAAGATGGCTGCTGCCAGGGCCCTGTGTGGGGCTGAGCAGTACGACAACGGCAGGGAGCTGGCTGCCAAGCAGGTGAGAGACTTGTAGACTTCTGGCGGTGAGAGACTTGTAGACTTCTGGCCTTGGTAATAAGGCACTGCAAATAGCAAAGTATTTCATTTTTTTTTTTTTTTATAACAAACAATCAAATTTTAAGTTTGCATCCAGTGATAGACAGAATTGTGAAAAACTATTTATAATGGGCTGGCAGGGTTACTGCATGATGAGCCTTTCCTTAATGTTTTTAGTATTTGCATTGCAGACATCAAAAAACGTTCTATGTTTAGGGTAATATTTTTCTTCATATTTTTTTTTCAAGTCTTCTTTTGGAGGCAAGGAGGAGAGTGTTCCTTGTTACAATATTGAGGGTTCAGAATCCGGGCTGGATGTTCGTTCGTTCTCGAGATAACTTTTAAAAACCCATGAAATCTGGGCATTTAGCTCAGTACATGGAACTTTTGGTATTTAGTTGCGAGTAGAAGGCACCGGTGTGCCATCCAGCCCAGCTGCCTGTCAAACCCTGAGAGGCTCACAGTTGTTGCAGTTGAACAGGACTTGACAATGCACCTGGTGGTACTTCCAATGGGGCCCCCTCTTGCTCCCATGGGCACCAACGATGGGGCGCTCTTGCTCCCGCGGGCGCCAACGATGGGGCGCTCTTGCTCCCGCGGGCGCCAACGGGGGGGGCGCTCTTGCTCCCGCGGGCGCCAACGGTGGGGCGCTCTTGCTCCCGCGGGCGCCAACGGTGGGGCGCTCTTGCTCCCGCGGGCGCCAACGGTGGGGCGCTCTTGCTCCCGCGGGCGCCAACGGTGGGGCGCTCTTGCTCCCCGCGGGCGCCAACGGTGGGGCGCTCTTGCTCCCCCGCGGTGGGGGGCGCCAACGGTGGGGCGCTCTTGCTCCCGCGGGCGCCAACGGTGGGGCTCTTGCTCCCGCGGGCGACATGCACGGTGGGGCGCTCTTGCTCCCCGCGGGGCGCCAACGGTGGGGCGCTCTTGCTCCCGCGGGCGCCAACGGTGGGGCGCTCTTGCTCCCGCGGGCGCCAACGGTGGGGCGCTCTTGCTCCCGCGGGCGCCAACGGTGGGGCGCTCTTGCTCCCGCGGGCGCCAACGGTGGGGCGCTCTCGCTCCCAAGCGGGCACCAACGGTGGGGCCCTCTCGCTCCCAGGGGCACCAACAATACACTGTTTACCCTCACTGTCACCAAGACATTTTCTACTCCCACTGCCCATAGTCCGGCCCCCCTCAAGTCTGAAGGACCATAAATGGGCCCTTTGTATATAAAGTTTGGAGATCCCTTGTATATATAGTTTATGTGGTATACTGCGCGTGTGTATGTTTGTTTATAAATATATAGATGTATAAACATTTCAGGAATTCAATCTGTAATGATAAAAATACTTTTGTGTGTTTTTGGGTGTGTTTTTTTTTTTTTGTTTTGTTTTTTTCCTCTAACAAAGGGTTTTTTGCAGTTGTTTGCTAGTTGTGGACACAGAAAAGCATTAAAAAGCTGTTATTGAGATACTTTGGTTGGCTGTTCATTTGTACAAAGGTTTGTGAATAATCATGTTATTGGAATGACTGGCCTTAGGACCAGATACAGAAGACTACTCCCCTCCACCACCCCAACCATGCCCCCTGAGGAAGCCGCCCTGGGCAAAACTTGTCAAGTTGCGGCATTTTTTTCTGCACACCCATCCAATCTGAGTTACTTACTGGCATTTAGTAAAAGATCAACAAAAGCTGCCGTGGAATCCTCTTTAATATCATGTTTTCTGAGATAACATGAGATTGATCCATTGAATGTTCTTTGAACACAGAAATCCCTCGCAAGGATATCCATCTGCACATATGAATGCTCCACAGAGAATGGAATTGTTCCATGTGCACTGTTAATCTCATCACTGGTCTTTCTACAAATTCCAACTTTAGAATGAGACCAAATTTTGGGCTATGACCATTCTATACTATACTATTATTGACTGTACACATTATTAAAAGCTATATTTTAAAATGCCCTTATTTTTCCAGCTGATGGACAATTGGTACGCCTTGGATAAAAAGTCTCAGAACAAATACATGAAGCGAGCGGCCCATCTGCCTGATCCTTGCTTGTCAGTCCTTCGGGCAGATTTGTATTTTGGATCTGTATCTGAATCATTTCAAGAGAAGGTGGATCAGTACAGCCACCAAGTCCACACGGAGGAAAGCAACACTTACTGCAAGTCCAATATTACAGCTGATAGGTATGTAGCAGATTTTGTTGTAAGGTAAACTTCAGGATGTTGAGATGCACATTTACCACCATAAAGTATGTAAACATGCATGTTTGAAGTGACAATAAAACCCAACTTTTTTTTTTTTTTCTTCATTAAAATAAAAAAAAAAATGTACTTACCTGATCTAAGCAGTGCTATTGCACACAGCAGTCCCTTACCAACTCTTCTGGAGTCCTCTGCTGGTGCTCTCCCCTCTTTCTTCTTACAATTGCCCCCATAACTGTGTGCTGGGGCACCTGTTCAGTTACACTCTCAAGTCGGGCTGTGTGTGTCCATAGACACACCGACTGCTCTTTACTCACAGGCTTTGACTAATAGTAGTAGGCACCTATAGCCCCCTGCTGCTCTCAGAGTCTGCTGTGAGACCATGAGGTGAAGAGAGAAGATCTGCAGTTGGGCACAGCGCTTGATCAAAAGAGTTTAGGAACAGGGAGGGGAAAACTAGTATTTGAGCATTTTTTTTTTTTTTTTACCTTTGTGCATAGAATGTATTAAGGTACAAAATGTTATGTTTTTAGAACCTATTTCAGGTCAGTGATACACCAACTAGTCAAGCGGTTAATAGGATGATGGCCCCAGAACTTCAACCTTCATAGATCAGTCATCAGTGGCCAGCATTGAAACACCTGCCTATTTATTGTTTTGTTGTCTGTGTACCAGTGGGGAAATTCCCATTCACTTGCTGTCTCAAACACATCAGGAAGTTGGAGGCTATCTTCCAAAGTGAGGGGAATGCTCCTCTTGGACAAGTGTCTCCTGGACACATTCTACCATTAGGGCTTGTTTATACAAGCATTGTCCTCTGAAGAGCAATCCATTGTGGATCGCTTCTGAGAAGGCATTTGACAGATGGTAAGGAAGAAACATACTGCCTGTTTGAACCCTTAAATATCTATACCCCTGCTCCACAACCACTTGGGACACTTTTAAAGGGCTGTGCTACCCACTGAATTGTGGATCGCTTCTGAGAAGGCATTTGACAGATGGTAAGGAAGAAACATACTGCCTGTTTGAACCCCTAAATATCTATACCCCTGCTCCACAACCACTTGGGACACTTTTAAAGGGCTGTGCTACCCACTGAATGTATTTGTCGGTAGGTGCAATGTATACCCCCGTATGGGTGCCTTTTCAGCTGGAGGCGGTAAAAACACCATCAAAAGAGGAGAAAAAAAAAAAAAATAACCATTAACCTCCTCTGATGGCATCCTTGTACTGAATGTCCTTAATCCCGGAAGGACCACTATGGGTCCTCCACACTAGGTGTGCATCAGGAGAATTCCCCTGATGAATGGACCCTACACCATTAATGTGTATTTTTCCTGCCTGGTTTAAGATCCTCGTGGTTCACATCTTCCCTCCCTGGGCCACATGCATCCTTTCCTGATTTTGAAACAATGGGCGCTTTAAGGCTGATAAGACAGTTGGTCTGTGTGATGTATATTATATAGTCACTTCAGCTCCTGAGGAAGTTTGCAAAACATGTTGAGGTCAACCCACATACGCAACTATTTGTATTTGCTAATAAAGTCAGAATTGAGTGATTATTTGTGTAATCACTGACATTGCACAGTACTTTACCAGCCTCGCTATATTTTTATGGTCTAGAAATAATTTTTACAGATGTATAATAAATATTCAATCTTACAGACCTTGATCTTGTATGCCTATCAGTGCCTTAAGTTCCATTATCGTATTTGTTTTATGTTCTAATACAGGGATGTTGGCACTCTCCCTTTTCAAAAAGGAGTTGTACCCCACACTATCTTTATGCATGCTTATCCTATGGGGAACCCTTTTTTTGCCTAAGGACAAGGTGGTGTTGAGGCACAGGCCTTTTTTTTTTTCCATCTAAGGTAGTTTCTGCATTCACCTCAATCAAGACATTGCTCTTTTATCCCCGTTTAATAAAAGATTTATTGATGTGGTTTGGGCCAAGAGTCTCAGCCACGGCTTCTTCAGGAAGGCTGATAATTCTTTTTTTTTTCTTGTCGTCCTGAATGGACCCTGAAAGGTTACACTGGCTTCTCATTCTCAGGAGCTTAGGCAGACCATCATCCAGTGGTCTCATAGGTTTGGTTCCACCCTTTCCTGTCAAGGTGCACTCTGTTAGATCTCTGAATGCTCCTTGAGCATCTAGGCATCAAGCAACTGTTTCCAAGATTTTGAAGGCTGTCACCTGGTCTTTTGTTCAGTTTCTTTAAGTTCTACCTGGTAGGTATTTCAGCCACATCTGATGCCAGCTTCAGACGTAAGGTACTTCAGGTACTGTACCTCTTTGAGTTGTAGGCAGTCCCAAGTTTTTTCTTTTGCTTTCATTAGGGATTGTTTGCTGTGCTGCTCACCCCTCATTAGGACTTCGTTTTTTACATTCCAAAGGTTAAAGACTTCCTGTGTCCCTCAATGAATAAGAAAGAAAATAGGATGTTTGTACTCTCCCATAAAATCCTTTTCTTTTAGAGGGAAACAAGTCCCATCCCATCTGTTTTTGATCATGCTCTGGGTACAGCTATGCTGCAAAATTGAGGCACGCTGGTAGTAAGAGGGTAATTATCCAGGCTGGTCTACAGGTTTGTTTTTTATTTTTTTCGCCAGTGTCCAATCCTCCTATAGACAGCCAGTACGACTCGAAGATAAAGATGTCTCTGTGTTCCACAATGGGAGTCAAGGAAATTATTTTCTGGTGATTTATAAAAATTCTATTTTTGTGATTGCAGACTGAAGACACTGCTGCAGCTAAAGTGGCAAAGAGCACTGTGTGACCCCGGGGAGGCCGTGGGGCTTCTGGCAGCTCAGAGCATTGGGGAGCCATCTACACAAATGACACTGAACACTTTCCACTTTGCCGGCAGAGGAGAAATGAATGTCACATTGGGTATTCCCAGGTAAGTGATGTAGTTAAAGCCGCCATTTGTCATCTGTAGTGTGTTTTTTTTTTTTTTTTTTTTTGTTTTTTTTTTTCCCCCCATGCATACCCCCATGATTCGCTTTCATGATGCCCCATTACACAGTGGGGACAAATTATAAAGGAGACTAGAAGTGACATCTGCCCTCCTATATACCTGGCTTCGTATGGCCTGCTTTTTACAGCCCAGTCCTAAAATGTGAATCCAGCAGTGACCTCTTAGGGTTACTGTGTGATTGGAGTAGAGCTGGCTACCACACTTCAGTCATCTGACTGTGCTCTCCTTCTGGCTCCATTGGAACTAGCTCTCCCACCTTTACATTTGCTTTTATCATCTGCTGCTGGCTTGACCTTGCAGCTCTCACACACCTTACAATCTGACAATACAAATCTCCTATCAGCAACTAAGGTTCAAGGGCGTGCCTAATTGGATACAGATAATTTGATAGTTCAAGTAGGTCCTCATGTTGTATAGTTTGGTAAATCTAAAGTAAAATGTACCAAGACTGTACAGTCAGATTGTATTGTGTATGGTGAGCGTTACATTTAGTAGAGCATACACCATGTGCATATATATATATATATATATTTATATATATATATATATAATGTGCGTGTATGTTTGTGTGTGTGTATGTGTGTGTGTGTGTGTGTGTGTATATATATATATATATATATATATATATATATATATATCTATCCCTTCAGTTGTATCCGACCCTTGGCGATTGCATGGATTGTCACTCGTAAGTGACTATTTCCATGAATTCTCTTAGCAATTGTGGTTGCCAGGTCTTTCCCCAACCCCTACCATGCAGGAGATCCCGCATGGCCAGGGATGAAACTAGGACAATTTAGACAGGAGCCAATTAGCCTACCAGCATGTCTTTGGAGTGTAGGAGGAAACCAGAGTACCCGCAGGAAACCCACGGGAACACAGGGAGAACATGCAAACTCCATGCAGGAAGTGCCATGGTTGGGAATCGAACCCATGACCCAATTACTGCAAAGCAGAAATGCTAACCACTAAGCCACTGTGCTGCCCACAGACACACACACAGACACACACACACACACACACACGTGTGTGTGTGTGTGTGTGTGTTGTGTATATATATATATGTTGTGTATGTGTGTATATATATATATATATATATTGCAGCAAATGATTCTGTCCAAACCTAAGAATATTATTGAAATATATAATATAAATTCTTACTAGTCCTTAGATGAGGTGGCTATATTAGTTTCTCCTTTTTCATGCTTCTTTACTTTATTTTTACCCGGTGATCCTGCCAACAAGATACTCTAGGGTGACAACACCCACTCACTAAATGTAGAGAGGAGCAATTTTGCCATCCTAGGTAAAGAGGGGTTTCTGGACTACAGAACACCTCCCCTTCTCTTATGTCTATAACAGGGCATGTGGTCTATAGTCCACTGAGAGAACTGGTAACAAGCTATCACATTTTTGAGATACACTGTTTGATACACATTTGCTTTAGCAAAAGTAGCCATCCAGTTAGGGTTTACATCTACTTTTACATCCCTCCCCCCCCCCCCCCCCCCCCCCCCCTGTTTTTTTTTTTTTTTTTTTTTTTTTTTTAATCTTGCTACCCCTGATCTCCTGCAGTCTCTTTGCAACCACTTCCTGTCTACATTAGCTCCATTGGAAGCTGTATGTTACTAAGGGCAGCTGTCCTAATGTTGTCTGTACTGGAAGTAAATGTGGAAGGCTGACAATGCAGGAGCACAGTTGGGAAACGGGAACAAAGGGTTGTCACTATATAACCTGCATCTTCATGGGTCACCATGTATTTTTTTAATGAAAGCTCTAGATCTAATAAGATTGAGAATTGCTTTTGAAAGTGCATTGACATTTTAAAGTTTTATAGTAGGGATCTAGTAGCGAACAGGCAGTTCTCTGACACTGTAGAAGTTGTGATTGGGGGGGGGGGGGGGGGGACATAACTGACCAGTTCCCTAAGCACTGTGCTGAGTATTTTTTCCCCATATATAGCAGTAGTGGGTCCCCCCTTCAACCGTTTTATATTTTATTTTCAATTTTTTTTTTTTTTTTTTTTTTTTTACAGGCTTAGAGAAATTCTGTTAATTGCAAGCTCCAATATTAAAACTCCTATGATGCGGGTTCCTGTCCTACTGTCCAAGAGAGCCTTAAAGAGGGTGCAAGCTCTGAAGAAGAGGCTCACTCGAGTGTGTGTCTCCGAGGTAAAGAAGCAGAGTAATGGTATTAAGCTAGACCTTCGCATTTGCATTTCAAACCTGCTTTGCCATATTAAATAAACCTGTTCTAATAGCAAAGCATAAATGGATTTTGTTCACTTGTATCTATAGCTGTTACATTTGGATAGGGTAGGGAAATGTTAGATCGCTTATCAAGCTTTTTTAACATCTTTGTCCCCACTAGGGAGACTGTCTAAAACTTAAATAGCTTTGTCCTTGGATTTACAGTACCTTAGCTTTTTAATTTGTGTGAAATTGTATCTTTTGTAATAGTTATGTGATAACGGTACCACTATGGCAGTTTGCTACAATGTAATTCCAGCTCGGACTGCATGCTTTTTGACAGCCTGTCTACAACAGAATTCTGTCTATCAATGGCTCAGTAAGACCAAGTTTATGTTCCTAGTTCAAGCATCGCTTCTGATTTTTCAATTTTCTGAATCACAAAGTTAGTGGTGCTCATCATGCACATTTTTCCAACTTGCTAAGAAACTGTCTCGTACTGTGTTCGCCATCGATCAATGTAGAGCATTAATATAAAAATGTGCCAAAGTTATATAAAAAAAATGCAAACTAATGTTTATACAATCCACCCCATAAAACAAATACATATATTTGCTGTAAGTGTTCAAAAATATATAAAAAGTCCAAAAAGAAATAATTATAAATCCAAAAATTATGAAAAAAAAATATATAAAAATGAAAATGAAATCCTTCCAGTCCTTTCTCACGATGATAAAACCTCAAAAAAGGAAATATCACATAGTGTATTATCTTTTTGGTACAACAAAATATTCGTATTTGTTGTACCAAAAAGATAATACACTATGTGATATTTCCTTTTTTGAGGTTTTATCATCGTGAGGAAGGATTGGAAGGACTTTCATTTTTATATATTTTTTTCATAATTTTTGGATTTATACTTATTTCTTTTTGGACTTTTTATATATTTTGAACACTTACAGCAAATATATGTATTTGTTTTATGGGGTGGATTGTATAAACATTAGTTTGCATTTTTTTTGTATAACTTTGGCACATTTTTATATTATTGTTTCACATCTTTAAGGGTGAAGGTGTTATTTGTGTTGTGGAGATTTAAGATTTAGTCTTAGTTGATTTTTTGTACTTTCACTTGTATTTAAGGAAGTGGTATTTATAGATATAATGTAGAGCAGCCTACCTATCGCAGGTTATCCCCTTCTCAGTCTATCATGAATGCTGCTGCCAGACTCATCCACCTTACTAACCGTTCTGTATCTGCCATCCCTCTCTGCCAATCCCTCCACTGGCTTCCCATTGCCCAACGGATAAAATTCAAAACATTAACAATAACATATAAAGCCATTTATAACTCTGCCCCAAATTACATCACCGATCTTGTCTCCAAGTATCACCCAAACCGTACTCTCTGCTCCTCGCAAGACCTCCTGCTCTCTAGCTCCCTTGTCTCCTCCTCCCATGCTTGTGTCCAGGACATCTTCAGAGCTTCCCCCATCCTCAGGAACTCTATACCTCAATTTATCAGACTATCACCTACTCTGCTAATTTTTTAGGCGATCTCTGAAAACCTCTCTCTTCAGGGAAGCCTATCCTGCCCTCAGCTAATATTGGAATCTTCTATTCCTCCTATCAGTCCATCCCCTACAGTTATTACCTTTTGTACCACTAGCCCCTCCCTCGTAGATTGTAAGCTCCATGGAGCAGGGCCCTCCTAACCCTCTTGTATTGAACTGTATTGTTGCTGTATTGTCTCCCGTTATATTGTACAGCGCTGAGCAAACTGTTGGCGCTATATAAATCCTGTATAATAATAATAATAATTTAAAGGATACCTTTCATTAGTTAAAAATGCAAGCTTGTGCGACCTTCCTCAGATAAGTTGCTCAGGAATTCTACAACTCAACAAGTCTCCCTGGAAGCACGGTCAATCTATCTAAAAGTGACGGATGCAAGTATTGTGTGTGAATGGCGTCAGTGGCAGGATCTCCTGTAAGGGATCTCCTGGAATTGTCACCTATGTATGCTCACACAATGTCCCTTGTGCAGGGGGAGATCTATCATCCCTATCTATCCCTATCTATGGCCATACATCCCCATATATAGCAGTAGTGGGTTCCCCCCCCCTCAACCGTTTATGCATGGAACTTTAGCAAATAATTGACTCTATTATATAGAATTCCCTTTTTTTTTTTTTTTTTTTTTTTGCTGCTGAACATAATGAAGAAATATTTCCTCATATCCTCTCTACAATTCTTTAATTCTCTTTCCAGCTCAAACTGTACTGCTCAGAGTAGCTTTTTTTTTTTACATTTCCACACACTAGTAGTTATAGCTTCTAGACAGCGGCATCTGAATGCCTGATTTGTTAAATTCAGCCATGTATGGACTTCTAATCCTTTGCTGCCGCCAATATAGGTATTATGCCGGTAGCAGCACCGCATTGTAATCGGACTTCTGGCCAGCTGTAGTCACTGGGAGCTTGTTTACATACTGTATTTGCAGTTGACTTTCTAGTAGAAGTGATTTTACTGCCTCCTGATCGTTTCAACAGACTAGAGGTGATATCAAGACTCTAATAAACCCCTGATGTCTTCCTAAAGACAGGTTGGTATGAACAAGCAATGCAGCTCATTGTAGATGGTGTGAACAAGCAGTGCAGCCCAGCATAGCTGGTATGAATGAACAATGCAGCCTAACATAGGTGGTGTGAATGAGCAATGCAGCCCAACATAGATGGTATGAATGAACAATGCAGCCTAACATAGGTGGTGTGAATGAAAATGCAGCCCAAGGTAGATGGTATGAATGAACAATGCAGCCTAACATAGGTGGTGTGAATGAGCAATGCAGCCCAACATAGATAGTGTGAAAGAGTGATGCAGCCCAACATAGATGGTGTGAAAGAGCAATGCAGCCCAATGTAGATGGTATGAATGAGCAATGCAGCCCAACGTAGATGGTGTGAAAGAGCAATGCAGTCCAAGGTAGACGGTGTGAATGAGCAATGCAGTCCAATGTAGACGGTGTGAATGAGCAATGCAGTCCAATGTAGACGGTGTGAATGAGCAATGCAGTCCAATGTAGACGGTGTGAATGAGCAATGCAGCCCAACATAGGTGGTGTGAAAGAGCAATGCAGCCCAACGTAGATGGTGTGAAATAGCAATGCAGCCCAACATAGATGGTGTGAAATAGCAATGCAGCCCAACGTAGGTGGTGTGAATGACCAATGCAGCCCAACGTAGATGGTGTGAAAGAGCGATGCAGCCCAACGTAGATGGTATGAATGAGCGATGCAGCCCAACGTAGATGGTATGAATGAGCAATGCAGCCCAACGTAGATGGTGTGAATGAGCGATGCAGCCCAACGTAGATGGTATGAATGAGCAATGCAGCCCAATGTAAATGGCGTGAATGAGCAATGCAGCCCAACGTAAATGGTGTGAATGAACAATGCAGCCCAACGTAGGTGGTGTGAATGAGCAATGCAGCCCAACGTAGGTGGTGTGAATGAGCAATGCAGCCCAACGTAGATGGTGTGAATGAACAATGCAGCCCAATGTAGATGGTGTGAATGAACAATGCAGCCCAACATAGGTGGTGTGAAAGAGCAATGCAGCCCAACGTAGATGGTGTGAAATAGCAATGCAGCCCAACGTAGATGGTGTGAAATAGCAATGCAGCCCAACGTAGGTGGTGTGAATGACCAATGCAGCCCAACGTAGATGGTGTGAAAGAGCGATGCAGCCCAACGTAGATGGTATGAATGAGCAATGCAGCCCAACGTAGATGGTATGAATGAGCAATGCAGCCCAACGTAGATGGTGTGAATGAGCGATGCAGCCCAACGTAGATGGTATGAATGAGCAATGCAGCCCAATGTAAATGGCGTGAATGAGCAATGCAGCCCAACGTAAATGGTGTGAATGAACAATGCAGCCCAACGTAGGTGGTGTGAATGAGCAATGCAGCCCAACGTAGGTGGTGTGAATGAGCAATGCAGCCCAACGTAGATGGTGTGAATGAACAATGCAGCCCAATGTAGATGGTGTGAATGAACAATGCAGCCCAACATAGGTGGTGTGAATGAACAATGCAGCCCAACGTAGGTGGTGTGAATGAACCATGCAGCCCAACATAGGTGGTGTGAATGAGCAATGCAGCCCAACGTAGATGCTATGAATGAGCAATGCAGCCCAACGTAGATGGTATGAATGAGCAATGCAGCCCAACGTAGATGGTATGAATGAACAATGCAGCCCAACGTAGGTGGTGTGAATGAACAACGCAGCCCAACGTAGGTGGTGTGAATGAACAATGCAGCCCAACATAGGTGGTGTGAATGAACAATGCAGCCCAACGTAGGTGGTGTGAATGAGCACTGCAGCCCAACTTAGATGGTGTGAAAGAGCAACGCAGCCCAACGTAGATGGTGTGAAAGAGCAACGCAGCCCAATGTAGATGGTGTGAAAGCAACGCAGCCCAATGTAGATGATGTGAAAGAGCAACGCAGCTCAATGTAGATGGTGTGAAAGAGCAACGCAGCCCAACGTAGATGGTGTGAAAGAGCAACGCAGCCCAACGTAGACGGTGTGAAAGAGCAACGCAGCCCAATGTAGATGGTGTGAAAGAGCAACGGAGCCAAACGTAGATGGTGTGAATGAGCGATGCATCCCAACGTAGATGGTATGAATGAGCAATGCAGTCCAATGTAGACGGTGTGAATGAGCAATGCAGCCCAATGAGCTTTCACAAGTACTATTATTGCAGCTGAAGTTGGATCTTGAGTTGTTACTTGGTGACTCTTCTTTGTAATGACTAGACTATTTTCTTGATGTCTCAGGGGAAGGATGTTATCCAGGTTTCACGCTATTTCCTGCCACAGTTCAAAGTTTTTTTTTGTATGCAGAACCTAAGAACAGCTTCTCACTTCACTTTACAGAAAGGACAGTTAGAATCTGGTTGCTATGGGCAACACTGGCA